TTTAGTAGTAAAGTGTGAATTTAAAGTATGAATTAATGTATATGATTAAATGTGTTTTTTGGTTAAAAATAAATATTTTATTTTAAAAAATAAATACAAAATGGAACAATAAAGAGAGTGGAACCTTACTTTTATATATATGATTTTAAATAATTTTCCACCAATAAGCCTTATAAAATTTGTTGTATGATATATGATTAAGTTCTTTCATTTTCTTTGCCATTTGATTATAACTTATAGTGTAATTAAATTTTGTATTGAATGATTGTCATAAACATTTATTTATTTATTTATTTTGTTGAATGATATATGATTAAGTCCTTTCATTTTCTTTGCCATTTGATTATAACTTATAGTGTAATTAAATTTTGTATTGAATGATTGTCATAAACATTTTTTTTTTAAAAATTAAAGCCTTAAATATTTTTCCACTAATAAGGAGAGAGTGGAACCTTACTTTTATATATATGATTTTATCAATAAAAAGTATGTCTTCAAAAAATATTTAAATATTTTTAATTCTAAAAGTTTTGGATATTTGAACCTTTTAATTATAATATTTTGAAACTTTTTGAAATTTTAAATATGCTCATGTAAAAATTGTTTTAATATTGGTCATACTTATAATGATTTTAAACCATTGTCCAAAATATTTATCCGAGTGTAGTTGAGTATTATATGTCCATTTTGAAAAATTCAAATTGCAACATATGCAAAAAAAGTTAAATTTTTATATTTTATAGTATAATATCATAAATTAAAAATAAGATCAACTAAAAGTGAAAGAAAATAATAATTTTTTTAATAGATTATATTAAATTAGCTAGAGAAATATTAGGAAATCCTATAATTATTTATGGAAATAATACAATCCTAAAATTAGAAATGAGAAGTATCCGATGTATGTATCCAAACCCAATTCAATTTTTGAAGTATCCAATTGATAAAGTCGGGATAATTTTTTAATTTTGATCCGACCCGTATTCCATTTTGTACTTCTCTTTTACTAATATATGGATTATTTTCTCTTTAAGTACTATCTTTCAATTTTATTTTTATAATTTTATATATACATTTACATAAATTTTGTTTTATTCTACCATGAATCTAAAATTTAATTCCATTCTAAAACTCAGTAATACATTTAAAATTTTAGAGAATTTTTGAGAAAGACCCCTTTTGGTGTACCCCTTTTTAAAAATACCCCTTTTATCTATCCATTTTCAAAAATACCCCTTTTTAAATACAAAAAATTATAAAGTTTTATATAGTTTATAAGGTAGTTCTATATAATAACTACTACTGGAAGATTCGATACAAATATTTTAAAATGTTTTAAATAGTTTTAAATCGTTTTTATAAGTTTTATAAGGTTTTTAAAAGGGTTTATACGGTTTTTATAAGGTTTTTATAAGGTTTTTATAATTTATTTTTACGCTATTTATGAAAGGTGTATAAAGTTTTAGACACATATAAAGGTAATTTGTGTATATATTTATAAGGTTACACACATATTTGGATAAATTTCAACATTTTTAGTGAGTTTTTTTGATAAAGTTTGAAGAGGGGGTATTTTTAAAAAGAGGTATATGAAAAAGGGTATTATTGAAATTTCCCAAAATTTTAATGTATGATCAGTTTAAAATAAAAGTGAAATTATATTATTACCACTAATAAAAAACTAGTATTTTTGTTATTTTAACATTTAATTTATTTTACATAATTTATTTTTTATTTATATAAATATTCTATTGATTATAAGTAACATAAATAAGCACTATATGAATATGTTAAATTGATTTTAATGTAAAAATAAAAGTGTTGTTTAGGTGGATGAGGCATAATGAGAAGAGAGAAAAACTAACTGTATTTATACAAAAATATTATTTATTAGGCCAAAGTGGAATCAAAACATCAAATATTCAAATAACAAGAGTTTATTATTGTTATTTTGGATAAGAAATTAAAGTAAAATCAGATTCATCATCATTCTCATAAGAAAAAAAAAGAAAAAAAAAAAAAAACGAAAGAGATCTAATCTAATTGGCGCCCCTTTAACTAAATTCCCCTTTTCTCCATATCTTCGGATTCTTTTCAAATCGATAAAAATAAAAAGTAGAAATTGAGAGAGAGAGAGAGATCCCTACAAAATCCTCTCACTACTGTTCACGAATCCTTCCTCCTTCGCACTCATCTCCAAGATCTACAGATTCTTCTTCAACCTCGATTACAATGGCGACGAGAAGACGCACTTTGCTTAAGGTCATTGTCCTCGGAGACAGTGGGTAATGTTATTTCTATATCCGTAATTTCTCATTTTCTGATCTTCGATTTCTTCGATGTTTTGATTTTGGGTTTCTTTAATTTTTTTATTTTTTTTTATTTCTAGGGTTGGTAAGACCTCGTTGATGAATCAGTATCCTTTCAATTGAAATTTGATTCGTTCGTGTTTTTGTAGATGCATTTGAGTGAAATGTTATGATTTTTGAGATGTATGTGTTTTGGGTGAATCCTTAAATGAGTGATTTTGTTTAGATATGTGCATAAGAAGTTTAGTTTGCAGTATAAAGCAACGATTGGTGCTGATTTTGTGACTAAGGAGCTTCAGATTGGGGAAAAGCTTGTTACTTTACAGGTTTGGGTCTTTTTCTTTGTTTGAATTTGCTTTTCTTTTTCAAGATTTCGCACTGTTCACTTTTGTGGTTGTGGTTTTTTAGATTTGGGATACTGCTGGACAAGAGAGATTCCAGAGTCTTGGTGCTGCTTTTTACAGAGGAGCTGATTGTTGTGCTTTGGTTTATGATGTTAATGTGTTGAGGTCTTTTGACAATCTTGAGACTTGGCATGAGGAGTTTCTTAAACAGGTTCGTAGCAATTTCTCTTTCTTTTTGGCTCACTTAGCTTTGGTATGCTTTATTGTGAAATGCTACTGAGGTTGGCTCTGGTTTGCCCTTGTTTGTTGTGATATATGCATAGGAACATCTATGAATGTGGTACTTTTGTTTTAATAGGAATCATTAGCTTTGACTATTTAGAGTCATAATCTTCATATTTTGGTTAACAAGCTTAAACAAACCAGTGCTAAACTCTTTTTTTTGGTGATGTGGTTAGAAGAGATTTTGGCTATCTTTATACCTCTTCTGGTTCTCAGGACCATATCTGAAGTATTGTTGTCTCATTATATAACAATATGATTGGACACGTTTTTATGTTTGAATGATCATTTGCCTTTCTTTACCTAGTCCTTGGTTTACTGGTTAGGCCAAGTATATTACTAACTTGGTTTCGTGTTAGTTTTAGAATTTATTAACCTATAAACCCTGTACCTTGTTCAGTTTGGTTTCCTGCACTACTTTCATCCTTAAGCAATTTTTACTATGTTAACTTGTATTAATTCTGTGGCATTGTCTCATGCTATCCAGGCAAGTCCATCGGATCCAAAGACATTTCCGTTTATAGTGCTTGGAAATAAGGTTGATGTAGATGGAGGGAGCAGTAGAGTGGTAATAGGAAGATCGAGAAACGTTTTCCATCATGTTTTAAGTCATTGAGTCTTTTACTTGGTCTAATTTCATTTTCTGTAACTACAGGTCTCCGAGAAGAAAGCAGCTGACTGGTGTGCTGCAAATGGTAACATACCCTATTTCGAGACATCTGCCAAAGAAGACTTTAACGTTGATGAGGCATTCTTAACCATTGCCAAAACTGCTCTTGCGAATGAACACGAACAGGATATGTAAGTTTTTTCTATGGTCTAACTCTAGTATATGAGAGCCTGGAAATCATGGAATCTTGACTGAATTAAGATATTACTGCAATATAGAACATAGAAGATCCTAGGTACCAGGTTCTACCATTGTTGATTTGTTGGAATAGTCTATTTTCTCAACCCCATTGTCTGAATTGTGTAGAATCTCAATCTAAATCTGAATATGACGTTTAACTGTAGAAGGAATAGTGTAGAAACTAGAAACTAGACTTCCATGAGTTTCTTACTGCATCCAAAGTTTGGTTACTATTGATAAAGACAAAGACATTTGTTACATGCATATCTGACATTTGTCTAGTTCTGAATTCCAGAGTCTGTGACTGTGTGATCCGAAGTGAAAACATAAGATAAACCTTAAACTTAATACAATCCTGTCCTTCATATGCAATGTATTGGGTTAATTGCAGATACTTCCAAGGCATACCAGATGCAGTGACTGAAAACGAGCCAAAAACCGGTGGTTGCGCTTGCTGAACCGCAGATCTGAGGATTCATTTACATTCGTTTTTTTATTATGCATTCATTGAAGGTTGGTGTACTCTTGAGTTGCAGAACTATAAGCTTGTAGAAGCAATTTTTTGCCATTCCATCATATATTAATTGATTGGTGGAGTCTCTGTATGAAGTATGATCAGTCAATTCTGCTGGATAAAACTTTATGAAGAACCATTATTGCTCTTTATGTGTTAAACCCATGCGGTGAGATCAAATTTATATGTCACACTATTTATAAGTTTGGTGTCACTCATGTGGGAGTTTTCTGGCTTTACTACATCCATATGTAGACCATATATTTTGGGCTTGTTCGTTACGTCACCACAGGTGGCTGAGTTTTTGGCTGGTGAATGTAATTGACGTTCAAATTTTTAACCGTGGAATGTTGTGTATGCCGCAGCCACAGGTACATGCGGCCAGTAACGAACAGACCCAATAATTGTGAAATTATGAAGTAAAACTTAAACCAATATACTGGATTTTGTTCATAGTAAGTCACTATGTTGCATGGAAACGGAAACGGATATGCGGAAATGAAACGTTTCGGAAACGAGAAACGAGTTTTTTTATGAAATTAAGATATGGAAACGTGTTGGAAACGCTAATAATATATACATATATCTATATATATATATATATATATATATATAATATTAACATCAATTAAATGTTTGAAATAACACGTTAATCAAAATATATATGCTAAATAGTTTAACTAAAAGATAAATATTAAAACATTGAAATCCAAAATTTTGATATTAATATATCATATATTATTGTATATGTGTATTTAAATTAAATTAATCAGGTATTAAAAGTAATCACTCAATATATTATAAATAAAATTTTTTGTTTTTTGAGTTTCTAAACTAAAAGTTTAAGATTCCGTTGGGTTTCCAAAATGGAAACGCGAGTTTCTATCGTGTTTCTAAATAAAAAAAATTAGGAATTGTGTTTCCGTTATAGTTTCCGAGTTTCCAAGAGTTTCGGTTTCCGAAACCGCACTTGAGTTTCCATGCAACCTACTAAGTCACTACAATTATATGCTAAAATAATGATTTTTTCTTCTTCTTACCCATGGCCTTATCTTGTTTATTCTTATGTGTTGCCATATATACCCACGCAATAATTTGTAGCACCAAGATGGTTTTATAGGAAATCTTGCTCGAACTTGAATTGATGCTCTTAGGCTTATTTTAAGACTGTGTTAAGTTGAATATCATCGTTGATCTTTTAATCGTTTGGTTTTCTAAGTTAGTAATTTATGTGATCGCGACGCGTGTAAAGTATAAGATGTCTTTACATCTCATATTTACAAGATTAAATGTCGATTTAAGTTTATAAAGGAGGAGTATGGTTTACATTTTATAGTTAAAAAAATATTATTTATTGGTTTGGATTTATAAAAGAGAATTATGATTAAGATTTTACAGTTAAGCGATATTATGAGTTTAACTAAATGAACTTGTAAACGAAAAGTCAAAATTTTGCATGCGGTGTTGACATGAAAGGTTTCTAAGATACAAAATTGAGTCAATCAATTAGAAATTATACGAAATTTGATATGCATATGTTTTTCATTTACATGTAAAATGATATATATTTTAAGTATTTTATATAGAAACTCTTCTTTTTTTTTTTTTGTCTCTCATACATACTAAATTCAATTTATCTAGTTACACAACATTTAGTTTGTGAAGATCAATAATTATTGAATAAATTTTGAAAAATTTACTCAGATTTCTCTTCGAACATTTTTTCAAAAGAAGTTACAAATTGACCATGTTCTTTGATGAAAAAAATCATCATAAGGTTTTTTGGCTATGTTGAATAAAATCAGCTTGTTCTTTGTTCCACCTCTCTCAAATTATTTGAGAATATGGTTAAATCAAAGAACAAGTTAAAATTTTAATTTAAAAATAAATGAGACATTGAAGTTTTGAAAATCATGGAGAGAAAAAAGTGAAATCTTTATTGAATAAAAGATACACATGTTGAATTTTTTTTTATATCTGTTAAGTTTTCCAGTTATGTCACCAAAGCACACTTACCATTTCGGTCAAATGTCATAATCTTGAAATATTTTAATTTACTGTTAGCAATCTCTGTTTAGCCAAATGTTAATGTGTTGAAAATAATAAAATGGCGTCGTTTCATCAAAAATAAATTAGAAGGAAAAATTGAGGTCAATCTAGATTGTAATTGTTGACCTTTAGCAAACTCTCAAATGTTAAGCAAGGATAACATGTTGGTATTATAGCAAGCACAACCAACGGAATTTTTAATAGGTGCAAAAATTGATAAAATATTTAATTCATATATATATATATATAATAGAAAATAAAATTAGTTTTAAAATAAATGAAGATAAAAATATATCCATTTTACTAGGATTATTTATTGAAATTATGGTACACTGTATGATAAAAAAAAAACAAGAGAACTGTAACAAAAATAAGTATTATGCATATATTATGCAAAACTTATGCAAATAATATTGTATCAAAGATAAGTGACTAGCATGAATGTGTTAGGTAAAAAATTAGTATTTTTAGATCAAATTCTATTGATTGTTATTCATTTTTTTCATGATTCTTAAACAAAAATTCAAAACACTAATCATTGGAAAGTCAATCATGTGTATATATGCTTATGTGAAAAGTTATATACTAATAATTTGGTAAACTAAGACGATTATTTTCCATAACATTTTTTGTACAAAGAATGTGAACTTTTCGGATCTTGTTGATGGTCGTGTAGATGATTTTGAAAAGCAGCTTGAAGAAATTATCAGAATTTCACCAACAATGACACGCCTTTTAGGTGTTGATTTCTTGATAAAGTTTATCAGAACATTAAAACAAAAAATTTATCTTACAAATGAGTTATTACATGAGGAGTACAGACATGTTTTACTGCTTAAAAATTTTGAATTGACGCTAATGGCGTAAGATTTAGGGAAGCGCAAGACTCACGTGGATCGAGCAAAGGATTATGGCGGGTTTATAAAGATAGTTAGAAGAGAAAATTTGACCACTGATTTCCTTTAGATGTATATTGAAATTCAGAAGTTTAAGGTAATTGTGTTATTTCTCTTTTGTTAATTGGTTTTTTCAAAAATTGTCAATTGTGATAAGTGTTATCTTCTCTTCTATTAACGGTTCAAAACACTTGCAAGGCAGTTTACAAATGACCAATTCTCTTCTAAACCCTCTAAAAGCCCCTCCCCTTTTTCATACTAGATAATCCGATGGTTTTTTTTTTAATGCCAGTCACACACTAATTTATGATGAGATATTTCCATTGAAATTTTACTCTTAAGTAACTAGTATGCTTTGGATTTCTGATTCTTGAAAAAGTCTTGTAGAGTTTAAATCATGCGATTGTACTTAGATCTTATGCGAATTACTAATGAACATGCATGTGAATGTGTACAAATGATAAACATATAGCCTTTAAAATGATTTAAAACATAATACGATATAAAAGTTTCTTATAGTGGGTAGTATGATCCCCATCAGCGGAATTAGAACAAATTTTTTATTTGGTGCACAAATTGATAAATATTAAATATATTAAATTATATATATTATAAGAAAATAAATTTTGTTTATTGAAGTAAATGCGGATAAAAAATTATATACATTTTGTTCAGATTACTTATTTAAATTGTGTAATAAATAATGATCATAAAAAACAAGAGAATTGCAACAAAAGTTATATAATAAGTATTATGCAAAACTTATGCAAAACATATAGTTATTTAGCATTAAAATACAATTCCATTGAAAACTCATGAAAAAGTATTTAAATATAAAATAATAATATGTAATTATAAGTTTTTGATCCAAATATGTAGGAGAAATATTGAATGGGTGCAAAGAACATTTTTTTACTGAGGGCTAATCCAACTTCCAACCCATGATACAATGTATCATTTGTTTCGTCTTTCGACCATAGATTGGTTAAAAATATTGTAGATGTTATTGTTGTAGTATTTTGACGGTATATTTTAAATGGTAGATTGTTTTTCTGTAACTATAGATGTTATTGCTGTAGTATTTTCGCCGTGAATCAATAAGGAAAATCCAAATTTTTCCAAACTTGATTTCTATAGGATAAAGTGATCTCTATGTAGATGACAAAAAAAAAAAAAAAAAAAAAAAAAAAAGAAAAAGAAAGAGATCTCTATGTAGACCAAATTTTGGTTAAAGAAAAATTCTAAAGGCTCACAATCAATCAAGGCCCAGATTGCTGCAAGAGTCCCTTATGCTTCTAGGTGCAACGTAACTATCTGCGTAAAATTTATAAAACGAGCCATAAGAACTGTTAATGGGCTAACATATGGGCCTAAAAAGGCTTTTGATCTGTTACTATTACACTCCACTTGCAAAAAAAAACCTATCTTCTTCTTCTTCCCTGATACCAAAAATGACGACCTCCATGAACAACACTTCATAAACCTTCCGATAAACCTCTCAATCTCCTTCCCTTCACCTGATACTCACACTTAACAAAAACACGCGCGAAAGCTATGGTAGGAGCTTCGAGAACAATCCTATCCCTATCTCTCTCTTCTTCCCTTTTCACCATCTCCAAAATCCCTCACGTTTTCCCATTTCTCCGCCTCCGCAAACCTCCCTGTAGATTCCACCACGCTTTTCGTCCTCTATACGCTGCCGCATCCGCAACAACTTCTCCGACGACGGAGACAAATGTTACAGATCCGGATCAATTGAAACACACGATCTTGCTTGAGAGGCTTAGGCTTAGACATTTGAAAGATTCAGCGAAACCACCACAACAGAGACCTAGTAGTGTCGTTGGTGTAGAGGAAGAGAGTAGTAATAGGAAGAAGAGTAAGAAATTATTTGAGAATTTTGAGGAGCTTGGGTTAAGTGAGGAAGTTATGGGAGCTTTACAAGAGATGAACATTGAGGTTCCTACTGAGATTCAATGTATTGGTATACCTGCTGTTATGGAGCGTAAGAGCGTCGTCTTGGGTTCTCATACTGGTTCTGGCAAGACTCTTGCTTACTTGTTGCCTATAGTTCAGGTAAATGTTGCTGCATACATTAGTGTTTGGCTCTTGAATTGCTTGTATTTGTAGATATGAATCCTTGAGAGTTGATATGTAGAGCATTTGATTTGGTATGTTTCTTTGTTTCATAGTGAGCTCTATTGGTGTCCTGATGCTATGTTGATATTTTGGGGGGACTGTAGAGAAACTCGGAAGTTTCTGTTTCCGTATGGCTGTTTAAGTTCTGTTGATTTGATTTTTGTAGTTGATGAGAGAAGATGAGGCAACACTTGGTAAAATAACAAAGCCTAGGCGTCCGAGGACTGTTGTTCTTTGTCCCACAAGAGAACTATCTGAGCAGGTAATCTTGTGCTTTTGTTTGCGTCTTGAGTTTACTGTTTTCGATAAATGCATGTTGTAGCAGTTTGTTAGCACTTGTAAATGTGGTTTCTTTGTTAAGTTACTATTGAGACAATATACTTGTGATTGCCGAGAAAATAGAAAGTTGGAATCTTTATTTCCCAAGAAAGTCTTGGTTGCCTACTTGCCTTCGTATAGGATGATGATACAATTGGAGACTGGTTTAATATTTGTTTATGGCATTTTATACCAGTTTGTTATATATCATTACTGTTTTTAGACAGAGAAATGGCGAAAGAAAAACTAACTAAGGAGTCTGCATTAGGTTTACCGAGTGGCGAAGTCCATAAGCCATCACGCAAGGTTTAGATCTATATTGGTTAGTGGTGGTTCTCGGATAAGACCACAGGAGGATTCTTTGAACAATGCAATAGACATGGTTGTTGGAACCCCTGGTAGGATTCTTCAGCATATCGAAGAAGGAAACATGGTCTATGGAGATATCGCATATTTGGTATGCTCCATTTTCGAATCTTGACATTATGTTCCATGATTCTTATTGTTTGGGGATTTACATGAAATGACGAAAAATGGAAAATTTTACTCAGGTGCTAGATGAGGCAGACACTATGTTTGATCGTGGCTTTGGTCCTGAGATTCGTAAATTCCTTGCTCCACTGAATCAGCGTGCGTTAAAAGAAAATGACCAAGGATTTCAAACCGTCTTAGTGACTGCTACTATGACAACGGTATGCACATGTTACAAGCTTGGCCCATTATGTTGCTATTGTCATGATTTGTAAATTCGTTACTTCATGAAATCTGGGACTTCAGATATTAAGCTAGTGATGAAATTGCGTGTTTTCAGGCTGTTCAGAAGTTAGTTGATGAGGAGTTTCAAGGGATAGAGCATTTGCGAACTTCAACATTGCATAAAAAGATAGCAAACGCTCGCCATGACTTCATCAAGCTTTCAGGAGGTGAAGATAAGTTAGAAGCACTTCTACAGGTAAAATGCTTAATTAAGATTCTGATCTTTGAAGGCAATCAGACATGTTAGGGTTCTTGTTTGGGTGCTAATTTGTCTAAATTACATGTACATTCTTTCTGGTATGTGCCTACAGTACTTATACATTACTTATGCTTTGATGAGAATGCAGGTTCTTGAACCGAGCTTAGCCAAAGGGAGCAAGGTGATGGTCTTTTGTAACACTTTGAACTCCAGTCGCGCTGTTGATCACTTTCTTTCTGAAAACCAGATCTCCACTGTAAATTATCACGGTGAAGTTCCAGCAGAACAAAGGTGGGACTAAACAGCTTCTCCTAATACGCTTTCCATTTCTCAAAGAAACTAATTGCTTAATTAAGGTGTTAAATTGGTTTGCACTCATCTGTACAGGGTTGAGAATTTGAAAAAGTTCAAGGACGAAGAAGGAGACTGTCCCACGCTGGTGTGTACGGATTTGGCTGCGAGAGGTCTGGACCTTGATGTTGATCATGTAGTCATGTTTGATTTCCCAAAGAACTCTGTAAGTATCTTGGCCAAATGTTCCTGCCTATAATACTTATTATATCTTCTCTTAACTTGTTGATCAACTCTTCTTGACACCTTAATTTTATTTAAACTTGAATTCCTTAGATTGACTACCTTCATCGCACCGGAAGAACAGCTCGGATGGGTGCTAAAGGTTTGTTTACCTCTAGATTATCACTTGTTAAGATTTTTCGTATTTCAGATGGTTTCAGTTAGGTGCCGAATCCAGTTTTTGATCGTTTTGTTTGTTTATGAAATATAGAAACAGAATAATAACCAAAACAGAATACTATTCGATTCGTTGAGTTCAGTTTTCTTGCAAAGCATTTGAAGAATTTTCAAAATCTCATATTTGATTTGGATTTGGTTATACAAATGACTTCCGTTGTGGTTTGAGGAGCTGAAAAGTGTTGACAATTGTGTCTTTACAGGAAAAGTGACAAGTCTAGTGAGCAGGAAGGACCAAATGTTAGCAGCAAGAATCGAAGAAGCCATGAGAAACAATGAGAGCTTGGAAGCACTCACCACTGATAATGTGAGGAGAGACGCTGCAAGAAGCCAAATCACTCAAGAGAAAGGAAGAAGCGTTAAACAAATCAGAGAAGTGAGCAAGCAACGAAACACCAGAGACAAACCAACATCATCCTCTTCTGCGAGATCAACAAGTGGTAGATCAACAGGTGGGAAGACACCAGTGAGAAAGTCAAATTCGGTATCAAACCCCAGAAAAGCATCATCTCCCCCAGAGAAATCTTCAAAGCCGAAAAGAAAAATATTAAAAACAGTTGGATCCAGATCGATTGCCGCGAGGGGGAAGACGGGTTCAGATAGAAGACCAGGAAAGAAACTAAGTGTTGTTGGGTTCAGAGGCAAGTCTTCTTCTGCAAGAGCCTCTTAATTTTACATTCTGGGAACTTCAGGCAAGTTCACGTCAGTGGTGAAAGTGAATGATGTTTGGATTATGATTACAAAAAAAGCGTTCAAGATGAATCATCTTTAGGAAATCATAACATTTTTCTTTCTGCTATGCAGTTTGTATCGATAGAAGATATTCACTTTTGAAACTCGATACACTTTTGGCTGGCTACAATATCAGAGAAAGTTTGTATATGACATCTATGTTTGGTTGTAACATAATAATCTTCTTAAGAGGTAGAATGGTTATTATCCAAAACTACGATATGTTGTTTTAAAGTGTGCAATGGAGAATCAGTGGAGTTTGAGGATGTAGACCTTTGTGCTTCGTAGCCGTTGTGCTTTGTCCCACATCGCCAAGCAGCAAAACATAGATTTTGATACACTTGATATATAAATCTCTAGTGTTAGTTTTCGACAAGTTATGGAGCCGTGCGGTGAGCACAAAGCGAACTATTCTTTCGCCTTTTACTAAAGAATACCGTGTGCTCTCCGTGCTAAACGGCATTCGCCTATTTTTTGGAAGGGTTTTAAAACAACCTCCATCAATTCTTGAGTTCAAAACCTAATTAACAATGGTAATTTGCAAGTTTCTTGCTATGTTAGAAATATAAAAAGAAACGAGTAAGAGTTATCCCACATCGTTAGCAGCTGATAAGAGAAAACCATTGATGGAGCTATAAAATGGAAGTGAGTAGGACAATTCAAACCATACCTTTCTCGGCCTTTTGGCTAAGATCAAGTGTAGTATCTGTTCTTATCAGTTTAATATCTGATACATAGTGCCATCGGCCTATTTGATATTAACTCTATTTCTTTAGGGGAAGAGACTATTATGGCAGTTCACTGTCCGGGCTCTTGAGCGTCGCCTTTGCGTTGCACTACCGCAAAGGCTTTAGGCGCACCCCACCACTCTTAACAGCTAAAACCTTTGAACATTATATGTATTACATAAAGATTATGTTTATTTCACACTAACACTTATACAACGTTTCCAACTTCAATCTTGAACACATACGTTTTTTGAAGAGACAAATTTACAAAATAAAATGTATGAATGGATCTGATTTTAGTATAGAGCTAATCATGTACAAAAGCTTCATGGCTATCAATTTCTGCGTTGGTGAGCGTGAGCGTACGCTGAAGCTTTCTAGGAGAGAAAACTTCAACCTCGGCGACAAATGTAGCTGTCACCGGCCGGTGATCAGACAGTTTAATTTCACTTCTTCTGTAACTCATAAGCTTCATTCCTTTCCCATACCATATAATGCGGTCACACCTAAAAATCAGATTTAGCTTTAAGTACATATTATTTTGATTTGATGCATTGTCACAAAAGTTTGTAGTGAATGTGTAAGTATACCAGGCTGGTGTCCGTTTCCCGGACTTAGGATCGTTCCCTCCGTATTTTTCTGAATCGATTTCATATTTATAAGTTGGTGGAAAATCTAGAGCTCCTTCCGACCATCCTTCGAATACTCGGCCTTGTCTCATTTCTCTTGTAAGCTACCAAAGATTAGTATAAGATAAATGTAAAGTCATGTTTATTAAAATGGACCTTCATACCAAAAATTATAGATGTTTAGCAACCATACCTGGTCCTTCTCAGCTAACTTCTTCCAGTCCTTTCTTGCAATAAGTTCATGTGTCTTCGCATACGATAAGTTTATCCGATAGTTCAGATCACCCAACCAGATTATTTTTCTGCAGAACAACATTCATCTTGTTAAAGTTTATATCAAGAAAACAAAAAATTTCAGAATGTGCAACTATGAGGGTAAAAGCATACTCATGATCACGGATGCTTCTTGGAAGTCTCGTCGCGCCAAGAGAATGAGGATGAAACTGCGTTCTTCGGTGAATTTCGCTTACATCGGCGTTTCTTTTTCTGTGATCTCCATCTTTTTCCCCTGATGCTAGATGTGTGCACACAAAACAAAATGGTGTCTGATAGACTGACATACTCACAGACACAGACCCCTGTAAAGTCCAAAAATGAATTGTTACAATCCTTAACTTTACTCATAAATCAAGATTAACCAAACTACTTAAAGAGAATTAATGAAGACCTTGTTACCAATGTAACCCATAACACCAACACCAACAGTAGAAACACTAAGGTTTCGTATATGTTTGCGTAAGCTCCTTCGAACCCAAATGGTGAGAAAAACTCCAACCATCTGTTTGCTTACGATCCGAACATACGACGGCTTTCTCACATTCATGAGAGGCTTGAGATCTAAATCCGAAAGAAGAGGCGTCTTCTTCTCTCCATTATTGTTGGCAGTTGCTTTGAAAGAGCTATAATTCTTAAAAGGCTTTAAGGAACAACGTCTTTCCCTAACATGTTGATTTAACAATCTCAATGGAGGCTCTGGCCAGCTCAAACCAACTCTTTCGGAGTAACTAAACCATCGGCTCAAATTTTTCGCGCGGTTGGAACCAGTGTCTAGCTGCATCGAAAACAACCTGTCTAACGTCTTTGGCGATGAAAATTGCCTCTGTAGATACTCTTGTCTTGGCAAGCATGATCTTTTATCATAATTAGTATCCACAATACCGTCATCGAAGCTGAAGTTCTCATTAACCGAATGAATCACATTGCAAGTATCACTACTACTCTCAAAACCCATCTCTTCTACTACATCAATGACCTCTTCAAATGGCTTAAACTTCGACGGAGAAGGCGGATCACTATAACTTACAATCTTAACCTTCTTAGGTCGAATCCTATTCAAAGCATCGCGTATAGTATCCTCCCATTTAGAAGCAGGCCGGTCATCTTCAATACCAAAAATGTTTCCAGCATTTAGTGGAACAATCTCCTGAAGACTGATACATGAAAAAACAAAATCAAGAAGCAGCGAACAAAACACGTAGAACCGAGACAGATTCATGTGAAAACCGTACCCGAGGACATAAATGTCTGCAGGCTCAATGGTGTCAACCCAACCATCAATATCTAAGTCAGCAGGTGGAACTTTTCCTCCAACATTCCAAGTTCCAACACAGATTCTAGCTACACCAAAACCACATGACCAAAGTACTCACTATGGATACATAAGAGACTACTGCACAAAACTAAAGACTTGAAAGCAAATCTTGAATTAGAAACTCAAAAGACCTGATTGCTTTAGTATCCATATACTGCCCTCTAAACGTTTCAGAGTTCCTTCTTCTCAACCTTGGTTCAGCATCTAAAAACATTCAACAATAACCAAAGACTAAGTAAGTAACAAAACAATCAAATCCGCCATTTTCGAGCTTCGATTTTACGGGTTTAGAACACAATTACCATCATCATCAACATGAGCTTCTTCTTCAATCCCTGTAACTCAAAAACCATTTTTTTTTCGACTTAGTAACCAAAATTGAGTAACAAAAATTAGTAATTTCCTAAAAAAAACTAAACCTTGAAAGTCAGAATCAGCAACACTATCATCATCTTCATCTTCATCATCATCAGTACCAGTATCAAGGGTATGATCTGATTCAGTAGCTGAGATATTAAACCATTTGCGTAGGAGAAAACGAGCCCAGTAAAGCTGTAAGCACGATGAAGAAGCAGAACAACATAGTGTTGTAGCCCAACCCTTCTGCAAACACCAACACAATTATACACAAAATTCAAGAAAGCCCTATACTTTGAAAACAGAGCAAAAAAAAACAGAGATCTGAGTATATATATATACCTGTAATTGAGATCGTCCAGGAGCCATAGACCAAATCTAATCAAAAGCAAAGAAGTGAGAAGAGAGAAGAAGAAAACAGTTGAAAGATATTAACGACCATTGTTGTTCTGTTTGGTTCTTGACTTTGTGATTTTTTTTTTTTAGAAGTGTCTTAAACTCAGACAGAACATAAAAAGTTGTGATTAAGCATTAATCTTGTAATTAGCCGGCGTTTATAGGATGGTGATTGCTGATTGGTTGACCTGAACCATTTTCTATAGATTTTTATAATGATTTAATTTGGAATTTTTTGTTTGTCAACTTCTACTTAGAACCTGCTAGAGAACAAAAAGAAACAGAACATAAAGTGTAAGTGAATCAGGAATGTACCAATTATTGTATATTCGTTTTCTTGGGGAAAATTTTTTATAAAATAACTCAACTTTTAGTATAAAAGTGTTTAAAAATCTTTCAATTTTGCATGTGTTGAAATAGATTATCAAAATTTTGATTTACTTTGCAATGATTTACTTTGCAATTTAAACGTAAATTTTTGGACTGTAGGCTGTAGCAATCCTCATGTATAATAAATCCCAATTTACTAAGTATGTAATAGCTATAAACTTTATAATTTCCATCTAACATATAAACTTTTTTCAAGTTAATCAAATTGAATTAACTACAATTTTAAAATCGTGATATCGTGTTTATTGTTTCGTGGATTAAAGTTAAACTCAAGTTCAAAAAGTTGTCCTGAACTAATTTTGAAACTGAATTCAAATATTTTCTTTGGCATAGAATTTAAATTCCTCAACACCAAAATCGATAATAGTTTCCATTAAAGCTAATTGTGGAAATTAAAGATTAAAAACATTATAAGATAATTATATCACTAAAATAGAAAATTGATCAGTATTGATACCTTTGGATAGTAGTTATAAATTCGTCAACACCAAAATCGATATTAGTTTCCATTAACAGTTAAAACTAATTGTTAGTAAGTGTAACGCCCCGACCGCCATCTCTTCAGTGGATCTCATGTTCACCATCAGCCTATGTATCCACCTCTTTTAATAGGTCTCACGTCTTCTCACTAGGCTCATGAGCCCATTAATATCCGACTGTCGGTTATGAGAGGCTTAAATACTTGTTTACTGACCCTACAAATCACCATATGATTTTTCCCTGTGTTTTGGCCTCACTAAGACAGTTCCAACAATCACTTCCTGGAAGGTTACCCATCATTTGACTACTCCAGCATAAGCATGCTTAACTGTGGAGTTTTCTCCGAACCTTTGACCGAAAAGATAAGTACACTTAGTGACATAGGTGTCTTAATCAATTCATTTAAACCACTACGCAAACTGGGGTCTCACAGTAAGAAAACTTCTTTGTATTTTACAAAAGAAAATTACATGAAAATACAACAAGTAGTTTTTTCTTTCTATTTCCAAAAAAAAAATACGTAAACTCTTTACATATCTAGAAAATATAAAAATACTATTTTTCACTCACTTTAAACTCAAAATTTAAGCTGTATATTCAGTCTATAACATATAACAAATCTACATTAACCCGATTCAAAAGAGGTTGTAAACATTTTTTTTATATTGAGATTGTGATTCTTTTTTACAAGAGGTTGTGATAATTTGAGTTACATATTTGGAGATTATTTAGATTTAAAGATTATTGGGAGAATTTCAAAAATACCCCTTTTCAAATACCTCTTTTTCAAACTTTATCAAAAACCACTAACAATATTGAAATTTATCCGAATATGTGTTTAAGCTTATAAATATTTACACAAATTTCCTTTATATGTGTGTAAAATTATATATATATTATAAATAATGTATAAGTACCTTCTAAAAACCTTTTAAAAACTATTTAAAAACCTTTTAAACCCTTTTCAAAACCTATGAAAAACCTTGGAAATCTTGTAAAAACGATCTAAAACCTTTTAAACCTTATAAATTATTGAGAATTTTTGCGTTATGCCCATTTTAGTGTACCCATTTTAGTGTACCACTTTTTAAAAATACTCCTCTTTTCTATCCATTTTCGAAAATACATTTTTCAAATATTATGGTTAATAAGGTACATCAAGATCCTCATTACTACTGAAAGACTAAATCCAACTAATTACAAGGTTTTAAAAGGTTCTAAACGACATCTTTAACTTTTTTATAAGGTTTTTAAAAGGTTTACAAAGTTTTATAAGATTTTTAAATGATTTTTAAAAAGTATTTATACGGTATTTATGAAATATATATAAAAATTTACACACATATAAAGATAATTTGTTTCAAATTTTATAGTGACTTTTTTATAAAATTATAAAGAGGAGTATTTTTAGAAAGTGGTACTGCAAAAGGGGTATTTTTGAAAAGAGATAAATCAAAATGGATATTTCTCATAAATTCTCAAGATTATTTTCCAATTCAATAAAAATAATCTTTAAACATATAATTTTTTTTAATTCAGACTAAAAAGTTAAAACTACATGATATAGAGATACTATATATTATTATTTTTATCATCTTTAAATTATAATTAAAAAATGTTCTACAAGGATGCACAGTTTGTGAACTCAGCACTAGTTGTTGAAGCGCTTGCCTTAAGAAGTGTCATATTATAAATTCGAATAACTTTTGATCTCTCAGAAATAAATAGCTTGGAGATTATTCAAACTTACATCTTCATCAATCTTCTCAACTCGAAAGCTAGCGCTAAGGAGTTGAAAGCGATTATCTATGACATCTCTTGACTATGTACATATATAATTTCAGTTTTTTTCAATTTTTCCTTAGATTGGACAATGTTGTATCTGATTCTCTAAAAAAGTGTGCGCTGTTTGGAGCAAACTCTTTATCAACAATCGTTGTGTAATCGTACTTTTGCGTTATAATATCTAGTTTGTCCAAAAGAAAAAATTAAATAAATAAAAACAATTTGTGTATTTCATAAATATAAAAAAAAATCAGTATTTTTATGTTAATTAAAAAATAGTTGGTATATATATATATATATATATATATATTTTTTTTTTTTTGGTCAAACATTTGGTATATTTTTATGTTAATAAAAAACTTATAGAAAAACAAATTATGTTAAAAAAAAATTATTAAATAATGTGCCTCGGCATCTATATAAATATAGTCTTTGTTACGGCAAGGCACTATTCTACGTGGCACAACCCCTACCGTAACTTTTCTCTATTTCTTAGTTGACGAACTTGGCTTAAGAATGCGAAACGTCGTCGCATGACTCTTCTGTACCATTGCTAAATCAAACATCTCTCCTTCTCCATCAACACAGGAAGCAACTCAAATCGATATCTTCCAACTCACGAAAATGTTTCTCTTAAAGGTACATCCTTTGCTTGTCCTTGGAACCACTCATTACACTAGGTTTGTTTGTTTCTGTCTAGTGTTGTCGGATTAAAAATGATTACTTTTGTCTGATTTTGATGTGTAGACATGGAGATCAACCGCTTTTGGGGTTTATGGCTATATGAATTTCACCAAGAATGGTTTCTTGTAAGTGGAATTTGCTTGTTTCTACATCTTTAAACCCTGTGGAGATGAAAAGTTTGGATTTTTATGGATTTTGAGACGTGTATGATTCGTTCTGTTTCTTGTTCTTTGTGAGTTTATGGATTAACTTAACTGAAGAGATCAGAATTTGTGGAAAGATTGAATCTTTTGATTCAGAATTTGCTTTTACTTGAAAATAAATACCTTCGAACAACTGAAGGTGTTAGAATGTGTAGAAAGATTCAATCTTTGATTTCAACAGTTGCTTTTTCTTGAGTTTTAATACGTTGAGGAACTCTGTTATGGAGAAGTGATTGATGTACTTGTGGTTGCTTTGGAATTTGTGGAAAGATTCAATCTTTTGATTCAACATGTGCTTTTACTTGAGAATTAATACTTTGAGGAACTCTGTTATGGGAGAAGTGATTGATGTACTTGTGGTTGCTTTGGAATTTGAAAAGATTCAATCTTTTGGTTCAACATTTGCTTTTACTTGAGAATCAATACCTTGAGGAACTCTGTTATGGAGAGGTGATTGATGTACTTGTGGTGGCTTTGGCAGAGAGCATTCGAAGAAGTTTAAACCCGAAGATACGCAGATACAAATTGAAGGAAAGAATTGTGTGGTTACTGGAGCTAATTCTGGTATTGGTTATGCTGCTGCAGAGGGTCTTGCTTCGCGGTAAGTGTCCTAGCTATCGAATTGAGCAAGAATTGAATACTTGCGACGAAAATTCCTTGAGATGGTTTGCCATTTCCTAAGTATAGTTGAATGCTATCTTGTGGGAAGAGTGTTGCCAAAATTTATACTGTCCACTTACTTTTTTTTTCAGTGGAGCAACTGTTTACATGGTGTGCCGGAACAAGGAAAGGGGACAAGAAGCTCTTTCTAAGATTCAAACCTCAACAGGAAACCAAAATGTGTACTTAGAAGTATGTTATCATCTACTTAAAATTCATATTTGCAAGTTCCATTATTTATGATATGCATAAGAGATATCAGATTTACTTACCCTTTCAGTGTTTTCTTAGGTATGTGATTTGTCTTCTGTTAACGAAATAAAGTCATTTGCTTCAAGTTTCGCTACCAAGGATGTTCCCGTTCATGTTTTGGTATGCGGTCTTTTTCGTTTTCTGCACCTTAGAAAAGCATTTTACTACAACTCAACAATCTTGAACTTGTTTGAATCTGATTTTCGATTTTTAGGTGAATAATGCTGGTTTGCTAGAGAACAAACGTACTACTACACCTGAAGGGTTAGTCTCAGTTATCTTTCTTATGCTTTCCAATATCAGTTGATCTTTATTAATACCCTTTTGCTCATCTCTTATATCAGATTCGAGTTAAATTTCGCGGTGAATGTACTCGGAACATACACAATCACTGAGCTGATGCTTCCACTGTTGGAGAAAGCAACACCAGAAGCTAAAGTCATCACAGTTTCTTCTGGTGGAATGTACACTTCACCGCTTACAACAGATCTTCAGGTAATCAATATACATTACACCTATGTCATCTTTAACAATTGTGTGTGTTGAAATTTGTTTTACCTCTTTGGAACTGCTTGAATCACTTTTATGTCGGATCTTTAACTCACAATACAAATGAGTTTCTCTGCAGTTTAGTGGTGAAAAATTTGATGGAGTGGAACAATACGCACGTACCAAAAGAATCCAGGTCTGTAGAATAAGAATCTACTAGTTAAAAAACTCTCTTGTTTTGGTTTTCTGAATTTGTTTATATGAAAATGATTAGGTGGCTCTGACTGAGAAATGGGCAGATAAGTATAAGAACAAAGGCATAGGGTTCTACTCGATGCATCCTGGCTGGGCTGAGACACCTGGTGTTGCCAAGAGTTTGCCGAGTTTCAGTGAATCGTAAGATAGTTCTGCTAAAGAAAACATCTTTCGTGCTAAAGCAAACATCTTTTCTGCGCTAAAGAATGTATTTAAATTTATGAATCAGGTTTGCGGGTAAACTTAGGACAAGCGAACAAGGAGCAGACACGATTGTTTGGTTAGCACTGCAGCCAAAAGAGAAGCTTGTCTCTGGTGCATTCTATTTCGATAGAGCTGAAGCACCAAAACATCTAAAGCTTGCAGGTACAAGCAAGTCTCCTGACCTTATAGACTCAGTCATTGATACAGTGCATTCCATGGCAGCTCTTGATTCTTAGATCCCCATCCTCTACATGTTTTTTTCTTGAAAATAAATTGCGGTTGCATGTAAATATCGCATTGGAAAATAGATTCAAGTATTAAACTTTTCACTCTTTTGTGGAACTATTATTGTGCTGAGTATTTATAACTTTTACTCAGTCATTACATAGTATATCAGAAAGCAAGAATAACACAGTTATTTAGCTTTGGCATAGCTATATTATGGATACATCATCGTTTTTGTATGGTGTTATTTGCAAAGAGTAGACATAAAAGTAAATAGAGAATTACTTATGAGGATGGGTAGAAAGATAAAAGCTGGGGCTTTCGAAGCCAATACTGTTTGAATCTCTGCCTCGAATACTCGATATAATCGAACTCAATCTTGTTCACATAGCCCTGCACATTCACATTCACACACAATCATAAGCTTCTGCCATTTTCACCTAAATTACTTGGATCTTCATCAAAGTTAAAAGAAAAACAGCTTACAGAGATGATTCCCCATAGACCCCAGAAGAGATGGCTTGCCAATGTATACTTCTCAGTATCATCCAAGAGCTGTTCTATCTCTTCTTCCTTTGGTTCCTGTTCTTCACCTGAAGAGCTAAGGTAGTTGCAGATGAATCTCCTCCTTTCTTCTTCACCTGCAAATCCCAAACCATGCATTTTAAACCTTACTTCTCAATGGTGGATATATAAACATTTTCTTAGTTAATCACTGTACCTGGATATAGAGTGTAGTCCAAGATATGAGGAGTGTCAGAATGGTAATCTGCCACCATCTCACAGAAGTGATTTGCTATGTCATAAGCAATCGGGTTATAACTTGCATACTCATAATCCTGTCCAAAACCCATTTCAACACACAAAACTATTAAACAGAGAAATGATTTAGTCTCATGTTTCATCAATGTGTGATGATTTTCTTACCTTGAGTTAATCGTACTGTTAAAATGGGTTTTTAACTTTTTTCCCCCAATGCTGGAAAAGAGAACAAAGGTTAAGAATGTTAGGAGTAAGACTTACAATGATGGTAATGGCATTGGTGTCTTCATCAATCATGATGTTACCATACTGCAAATCATTGTGACAGAACCCAATCTGTTGTTCATTGTTCACTTCTTGTTCCAGCAAGTTGATTTCATCTTCAACGTTGTCTAGACCAAACTCTGTTAAATGTTCATCTGAACACAGATTCTTGGCTTGTCCTACCCAAGTCCTGTCATTTCAGTTAATTATATATTATAACCTTTTACTAGAGATAAACTTTATAGTATTGCACTTTCTATACCTCATCCTGTCCCAGATGAGCACATTTCTATCACCAGGAATGTGTATGCTGTGGAATCTTCTTAGCTTAGATGCAACCAGAGCTGATATGTTCGGATCACGAAGATCTGTTTTCGATAGTGTCTGGAACCAAAGATAGAGATGTAAGAATTAATAATACTGTGACAATCTTTTAATGGTAAGACGCCAAACACAAGAATTTTCTAATTCCTATTGTAACACATGCTAAACCGGTAATACCTCGATTTCTTATTTTCTCCGGTTTAACACCCACATGAATGAATATGTAAACTACTTATATGAACGACAGGACATGGTTTGCTCTGGACTGGTACCAAAAAAAACAATCCGAGAACTAAACCAAATAAATATAAACCGATTCGGTTTCACTGATTAACTATCGAATATACAAAGCGAACCAGATTAAACCGAAATTCTTTAAAAATAGGTTAAAAAAAATTCTGCAAATATTAAACCAATTATTTTAGTTGTAATGTTTGCTCAATCTAGTCTAACTTAACCTGAATTTTAACAAAAACCAAATTCGAAAGCTGAACCAAAGAAATGTAAACTGATTCGGTTACATAAACGAACATATCAAAACAAACCAAACCGAAATAAAAATGAACCGGAAAAACTCGAAAGAAAAACGAATATATACCAAGATACTAAACCAAAAATTTCAATCCGGTCTATTCATAAACCGAATAGTGAGAAAACTTAAAATCCAAAACCAAAACCAAACTAAAATACCGGACTGATCAAAGAAGTATAATCTATTTTTTTTTTTTTTTAGTCTTTTAGAACAAAAATTTAGAATCTAGATTTTTCTTTTCTTTTTTTGAACAAAGAATATAGAATCTTGATAAATAAATTAAAAAATAAAAGAATAATAATTTTATGTGATTGAAAAATAAAAAGAATAATAATATTACCCGGGCATGAATAAACTCTTCGACTCTACCGCCGGGGAAGCGTCCAAGGAGCGTAGGTCCATGACCATGACGAGCTACAAACTCAAAAGTACGAATCTCATCGTCTCTGTTAAAGAAAACATCAACACCTTCTCCATATACACGAACAAGAAGCTTCCTACATCGAAGATTCGTTTCTTTCCTTGGCCAACTCACCATGAAAACTTCATTAGTCATCGCTCCTTTCATTGGCTTCACTTCAAGACTCTCAAGATCCTCAACTACATCTCCCCATTTTGTTGAAAGCTTTTCAAGTATCTTCTTTAGCTCGTCTGGTGATGAGCTTGGGATCAATTCAAAGATTCCTATGGCCATCAAAATCTTTGGTTCTTGCAACAAAGTACTCTGTTTCTTGAAAGATCAAGAAGTCTTAGTTTCACTGAATGATTAAACTTATGATCAAGAAGAAGAAGAGGAAGAGAGGCTTACCAAGAGAGTTGAAGATGATCTTGGAGAAAATAAGTGTTGGGGAATCTTGAAATGAGGGAAAGATAAATTATGTGAGTTTTTGGGTATTGTTTGGAGAGAAGTCTTGGTCAGAAGGAAAGACAAATTGCATGGTGAATGAGAGAGAGGTGTTAAAAGAGAGTATTTATGGACTTTTGTCTTTACATAAGAAAGGGAAGATCTTATTCTTTGTCTTGGTGGGTTTAGCTTTGAGAGGATCAAGACAAAAACAATATAAAGAACCAAAAAAAAAATGATATTATTTTGTAGAATTCTGAATATTAAAATTAACTCATGAAACAATCTACAGTGAGAAACAGAAATTATAGTTTGTTTTGGTAAAGAGGAAAGATAAGTATGTAGTGGCAATTGTGTATAAAGATATATAATATGTATATTTTATTTTTTTGTTATTAAATAATTTATTATTTGTCAACAAGTTATATTAGTATAAAATAAAATTAAAAATCCATAGCAATAGTTCAAAACATACAAATTTCATGTTATGTGAAACCCATTTTGCGGTTAGTGTTAAGAAACAAAAAATAAACTCTATTGCAAAAGAATATCTCATATTTGTAAAATTCTATTGACATTTGAATGTTAATTTACAACATTTTTTCTATACAAAATTGTATAAGTTTGCTAAAATCAACATTGCATATGAGGGTTTGAATTTTCACAATGAACTAACACAATTTCGGTTACACAAACCAAATGTTATATATCCTATTCAAATTTATAAAGATCTATATATGAATCTAACATATGCATGTAGTTAGGTGTGATCACTTAAGTGTGTCTAGATGAAAATGGAACTAACTAGAAAATTTCAATGATGCACATCCTCCAAATCGAAAAAGATACATTGGTTAGAAGATGATAAGCATCCAAACATAAAGGTGAATGATTTGTCCGCAAAAAGTACCAATCAACATAGTTAATGACATTTACATTATTGAACCAGTTAGGCCGAAATAAAAATCGTATAATAATATCATGTTACCATTGATTAGACAATGACATTTTCAAAGAGTACTTGAAAGCATTTTGAAGACTTTTCCAAGTTCATAACAAAAAAATTTTAATCAACAAGAGATTGGTTATTTAATTCAGATTTTAGAATTAATTATGAGTTTGCCATTTTTTGTAAACAAAATTTTGGATCGACGATATTTTAAATTATAAAAATACGAGAAAACATTCGTTTTATTCGATATATTTGGGTTTAGTCAATTGTCTTTATATTAGGGTGTTGTGTTTACTATAAAGTAAGTATATACTTAACAATAAAAAATCATAAATATAGACATTTTAAGTGTGTAAAAATAGCAAATCCGTATATATTTTAGTAAAATGACATATTCTTAAATTTGTACTAGAAAATGGCATGGCAATTTTTTTTGTAAAAACCCCTAGATTTTATTTTATAATACTCAGTTTTGCTTGTGTTTGTTTTGGTTTGAACTTCACACATCTTGGTTCGGCTAAGTCTACACTACACATCTATGGACGGTGAGTGAGTAAGACAAAAATAGGTAATGACTAAATGAGTAAGGTGCTAAGGTAGGCGTTATTAGTCAGCTGACTTCGAACCTTTTGCTGCTAATTTTCAGACAGATAAGCTTTGTTACTTAAACTCTATCTTGCCATTGAACTGCAGAACTCAACTTGTCTTCCACTTGTGTACTAAGGGGGAGTTATTGGTAGAATGATTTTTAAAGATTTTTAGAGTTTAAGATTCTATTGTTATTGGTTTATGGATTCTTAGATTCCTAATAAAATCTCTTGTTATTGGTGTATGTATTTTGTAATTCTATTTAAAATCCTTTGTTATTCAAAAAGTTGAGTATTTATTGATTTTCCAATTCTATCAAATTCTAGTGTTATTGGTTTAATGATTCCTTACATATTTAGTCATTAAAAACAACTTTCAAAATACTGCAATTATCATAAGTATTTGTAGAATCTATCATATGGAGAATCTATTAAACTCTAGAAATCTGGGTAAACATTATTTTATAATCTACAAAATTTTTTGAGAATGTTAAAATCTCTAAACTTTAGAAATCCATAAACTCTTTTAAAATCATTCTCCCAATAACCCCCCCTAAACAAATTAGAATACGACACGTTTTAATGTTCCATTCTTTTGAACAAGATAACGTTTTAATGTACCTAGATTTTTTCATACTATAAACTTTTTCTTCTATCTTTTATATATTTTAATTTCAAGTAGAAAAAAACGTGGTGCCTAATATATAATACGAAAAAGAAATATTTATATAGTGATAATTTTTTGAAATGAAAATAAAATAAAATGATGCTGTGAAATTGTATATTATTAAGAGTAATGCTATGTGAGATCTTTTGGAATTTTCACGAAAAATACAATCAAATCTTACGAATATGTTAATTTTTAACACTTAATAATATTTATATTTATAATTTTGTTTGCTAAATATATATTTTATAACAATTATAAATTTTAAGAATACGTAGAACCGACTAAATTCAAATATAATAAATTAAATATAAATTTGATCAAATTTTTTTAGTCTAAAATGACAAAATTTATAAGATTTTAAATAAAATAGTAAATTAATAAATTTCATCGTTAAAAATACCAAATACTGTATATAATTGATTCAATCTATAATAATATTTATTTAATAATTAAATAGTCCTTATTTTGCCCTTTCTTTTTTGCTATATATTATGACTGATGAGTGTTATGACTCCATACGTTGATGTGAGAATCAAGTCAAAAGAGTTGCAAAAATGTCTGGTTGAGAGCCAAGATTCCCCTTTTTGAACAATTCGTAATGTTTTGCACTTCTTCTTCATTGTATCTTTTTCGAGTTGGCAACTTTACTGTAATATTCTCTAAGTATTCTATAAGGTATACCAGTCTAGTCCATATATAATCAAACAGTATATATTCGGTCAAATTGTAAAGGTGAAGACGCAGAGTTTTTTATTTATGAAATGGCTTTAAGTATTTTGGGTAGACTAGAAATGGATTCGGTAAGGAAGGAAATGCTCTTCTTAATCAGATCTTTTTTTGGTAGAAATTATTTACCTCTTTATTGATCTGTAGGTTTGATTGACTTGTCTTTTCGTGTGACACAATTTTTTTTTCCAAAGTAATCAACTTCAAAATATGCCTTATTGATATTTACAAGTTTAGCGGAAAAAAACATATATATATGCTTGATTTCAATAGACATTCTTTCATCAACTCGGAATGAATCCTTCCAAGATAATAAGGGAGCACGTTTCTTAAAAAATAAATTTGAATGTGAAGTCTCCTTGTTAGCAATCAAAATAAATATATATTTAAACAACTAACCTTTATGACCATATCATGCACCACCATTTTATCATAGTTTCTTTACCCAATGTCTTTCTCACAACAATAGACATCTGTTATAACAATATACCCCCACGGCTCCTAGGTTTAGCCATATACAATATACCCCTACATGTCCTATTTCAACTTATGTTTTTGTTAAGTTTGTATTTCATTTATCTTTTATGTCACCTCCACCCCACAAAAATTCTACATTATCAATACAAAAGATTTCCCATAAGTTATCTATATACACGATATTCCCAAAAAAATAGAAAACAAATACGGTTTGTTAGTTTATCGAGTGTTTGTTTATGAGTGGTTTGTTAGCAGTTTAGTATCTTTTCCAGATATTGAGATATTGAGTGTTTTGTGTGGAGAGTTAATGAATACAACGAGAAGCCTGAGCAAAAAGAAAATAAGAAAAAGAAATTATAACTCAATAAAAAAAATAAAGAAATTTTGTTATAGTATTAAATCACCAAGATGAAAAATAAAATTGCAACAATGATTAAACACTAACCAAACTTAACAACTAGTGATGTTAAAATGGGTATGACTACCCATTTAAAATGAGTCCTTTATATAAAATTAGACCCATTTAGACCCATTACCTCAAATTATTAAATAGGTTTATATGGGTTTCCCCATTTAGGCTCATTTATTAAATGGGGTTTAACTTAAATAAATGGATACCCATTAACCCATGTATATATTTAATTTAATTTAATATAAATATTTAATATTTTATTTGCAAATTATAATAATATTAAATAATTAGAAATTACCGTATTTTAACTTAAATTAGAAAAACAAAATTCAAACTGTGTTTTCTAAAATCTTGTTTTCCCGCCAAAACCATAAAAATCGTGTTTTCCGCCAAAAACGTAAAATTGTTTTTCCCGTCAAAATTATAAAATCTTGTTTTCCACCAAAACCGTAAAAATCGTGTTTTCCCACAAAAACCGTAAAAATCGTGTTTTCCCGCCAAAACTTTGAGGACTTATTTTTCCACAACAACTAGAAACGTGATTTCTCCCAAAATAGTAAAATCATGTATTTCCGTCAAAACCGTAAAAAAAAATTATATAATTATTTATCCATTAAATTCTAAAAACAATCAATAATCAATGATTTTTAATAATTATTAGTTATATTGTAAATTTACAATAAATTATTATATGGGTAAAAATGGTTAAATGGGTAATGAGCATTTAAACGGGTTTGGGACTAAATAGGTCTAAACCTAAATGGGAGTAAATAGGTTTAAGATAAATGGGGTAAATATGAAAGGTTTAAATGGGGTGGGTTTACCCATATTAACATCACTATTAACAACACATACATTCCAGCAATAGAAACAACCATATTTTTACAAGCAATACAAACATGAACATTCAAGCAAATGATTAACATTAAAATAAACTAAAACCATAACACACAACTTGACTCGTCATTAACAACAATAAAATAGTAAACCAAGAAAAACACAATAAAACATAGAAGAAAGTACCAAAGTAGACTTTTAGTTTCTTACAAATTAAAACAAAGAGTGTATTCAGATGGAGTCTACAAACTTAGTCTCGGTGATACAAACCAGAAAAGTTTCAAGAACGATGGTGTCTTCCACAAGGTACCCTTTTGATTCATCATTTAGATCCTCCAAAGATATTAACTGAGATATCCCTGATCCGTCTTGAATCTCTCTCGAATAAATATGAAAAACTATACAAGAAAACAATCACACAAAGTCAGTCGTCTTTATAAGGATGATCAAATCCTTCTTACTACCTATATCCCTAAAGAGTTTAATTCATACCGCGTTTCTCGATGTGGTTCGAGTTTTTCTGATTTAGTAGCCGGAGTTTTAGCTTTGCGTAAGTGCTAGAAGCTACCGCGTTTGGTAGATATGCCATGGCTTGAACATAGACTGAAAGTGCTCTTATATCTTTGTGATCACCCTTTGGACTAATCTTCATTCTCCTAATTATAACATCAATACATATAAGAATCGGTCTTCCATTAGATAATAACTAAAACTAGCTAGTAAACGTTATATTAATGTGTACAAAACTCACCATTTCCGATCTCCGACCACAAATTCATCCGAGTAATGATATTTCTTGTCTCCTAATTTCGAGAAACCAGAGATTTTCCAAGTGAATTTGTTGTTTGGTGGGTTTTGTGTGAAAACAACTCTCTCAACTTTCTCTATAGGCTTTATAACAAATACCTCCACCCCAATGATACAAGCATCTCCATCGGTGTACCCATTTTTGGGATCGTTAAACTTCGAAAGAGGAAGCATTTTCGCAAATCCCCACTCTTTTTTCTCTTTAGTGTAACGCTTAACAGTTCCATCTACACATAATATATATACACACACCATAAACATAAGAACTAATTCTGACCATGTAAGTTCTTCTTTTTATTGGAAAAGACTGGACAAAACCGGCAAAATTCCATCACAATTATCGCGGTAAAATATATAAATCGCGATAGAATATATAAATCGCTAGATTTTACATAAAAAGTGTGTTTGACATATATGTTCATACCTTGGAACATAGAGTACTTCTTAATGTTGTGGTTGTATATGAAGAATTTGAGTTCTACATTAAGCTCCCAATTATTCATAAGCATCTCAGAAGCAGCAACGTTTTCGATCCTCACATAAACCGAAACATGGTTTTTTCCATCGTCTTCTAACTTTCCAGCCGGGTAAAATACCAATCTCCTGATTATATATAGCATTATTATTTCATTGATCAATCACATAGAACACATATATAAAGGAGTTATAGAAAACACATTTGATGTAAGATTTGGTTCACTATACTATACCATTTATGTCCAGAAGCGTCAAAGTCAGCAGATTCATAAGCTTGATTACTTAATCTAACCTCAGAGAAACCAACAAGCTTCATCAAGTAGCTTGAAGGACCTTGCTCTCTTAGAGTTTCCATGATGATGAAGTTTTCTTGGCAAAATGTTTGTTGACTTTAGAGTTGTGTATGTATGGAAGCAAGGATTAAGATTTGCATATATAGAAGAAGAGATATATAACTAGTAGCAATAAAGAAAGACCTAATGTTTTACAAACAATAAAATATGACTGAGCAAAGTTTATTGACTTTTTAGACAAGTCTTTAATTTTAGTATTTGTACATGCTAGTGTTGTTATTTTAATTTTGTTTAGATTCTTGACAAACTTGATCTTCTAATCATTTTTCACCAAAAATTTTATTATAGATTAGAATTTTTGAGTGCTTCTATATGGTTATGGTTAGTTCATCAATGTGTTGGTTGATTGGAAAGATCAATGGCTCCTTTGTTTGGCTTTCAATAACATTGTGATCGAAACAACTATCTTGTTGTTGTTACGGTTCCATGCCATTTTGAGTCTTCAAAGGAACAAATAAGAGATTATTTTGGAGCTATATATCTTCTTCCGGAGCCAAACTCTTGAATTTAGGAATGCGAGTTTGGTTAACCGAACTGGACCGGTTTATTTGGTTATCAAACAATACTACAGAAATTAACTGAATTACTAACCCATCCATGTTCGATTCTTGGTTTTTTTTGCTTAGTAAAATTTTACCGAATTGAACCGATGCTTTTCAGTAAAAACGATTAAAATTGAGTAAACCGTTGAAATATGACAAAATCGGTTATTATTTTAGTTTGTGTTGATATATATTTTGGTGTAAACCGTTTTAACTTAAATATAATTTCAGAATAACTCAAATAACTAAACTGAACATAGTTAAAGATCTCTCCAAATTTAACCGTTTGTTAATCATTTTAAATTGAAAATTGAGAATTTCGGTTCAGTTTGGAATTGTCAGTTCAATGTGTAAACCGCAAACCTATTCTTGATGTTTTATTATGCCTCATTCAGTCACTGAGAAATTAAAATTCAGAGAGAATTTGAAATTGACACAAATGAATTTTTTAGAAATAATATCAAATTTCAGCTATGAAAATAAAAACTTAAAAGAAAAATCACTTTTGATGATTGAATTAAATAATGAAAATTTCATTTCTCATATAAACTTTTTTTTTTTATTGAGACATTTTATTGTCATAATTAGATGTACTGTTAATCATTATGATAAATAAGTATAACCATCCCATAGAAAAGACTCAAAAATTAAACAAGCGTTAATAATCTATTTCTTACAAAGAAGGGTAAAAAAGTCTTTATCTATTTCATGATTATGATAACCCTACGAATGTGCAATATATAAATCACCGAAAAACCCTAGCCGAGACCTCTTTTGTGTTCTTCACTCTCCCAGAGATCGTTTACTCCTTGAATACGGCTTCGTCTTCTCACTTACCTCATCCTCTGCTAATCAAAATGGTAATTAGGGTTTCCGAATTTCTCATTTTCCTCTTCGTAAATGTTCTCCAACAACCACAGTCTCGTCTCCATTGATCTGCCATTTAAAAACCCTTCTTTTAGATTCATCAATTTGGTTTTGAATCCACAGTATTAGTTTCTGGAATCTAGAGTTCTTATGTTATCTTGCTATCTAAACTACAAAGTTTGTGTTTTTATGATTCATAGTAGAGCTTACTCAATATTAGGCTGTGTTATGTATCTGTAAAGTTTGGGTTTTTATGTTCTGAAGTTTGTAAATTTTGTGTTTTCGTTTAGTTTATGTGAAATTGCTGATGAGTTAATTGAATTTTGTTACGGTGATATAGTGTCTGGTTGCAAATGTTGTAGTCTGTAAAGTTTGAGTTTTTATATTCTGAAGTTTTTGAAGTTTGTGTTTCTCGTTTAGTTTATGTGTGATCGTTGATGGGTAAATTGAATTTTGTTTTTATGGTTGTTGTGTAGTCTCTGGTTGCAAATGAAGAGTTTCAGCACATTCTTCGTGTGTTGAACACCAATGTTGATGGTAAGCAGAAGATTATGTTTGCCCTTACCTCTATCAAAGGTATTGGGAGGCGATTGGCCAACATTGCTTGCAAGAAGGCTGATGTCGATATGAACAAAAGGTTCTTTACTTTTCGATGTTGTATGAACGATTGGGACTTCTGAAATATAGATTCTTGTAGGTCTAGATCATATCTTTGTTTATAACATATTGATACGAGTACAGTTTCAGATTCTCTGTCTAATCTTGGAAAGTGGTATCTAGAATAGCTAACTTTGTAGGGAGGCTTAGTCTAGTTTGTTAACTTCAGTTAACATTTTCTGCTTTCTAGATTTTGTAAAGTATATCGATATCGGTAGCTAGTCTAGATTGCAAATTATGTATTTTTGGCCATATCTGTGTTGTAATTTGAGATTCGTGTCTCAAGTTCTGTAATTTGAGATATGAGTACTGTACTGTTTCAAGTTCTCTATCTTATCTGGGTAAGTAGTAAATTAGAATAGCAAACCCTGTTGGGCGATTTAGTCTAGTTCTATAGGTTCTATTAGATGCTTTCTAGGTTTGTGGAGCATACTGTTTAGTCGACATTGCAAATCATGTATTTTTGGGCAAATTTCTGGAGATTGTTGACTTATTTGATGGCATGTTTTAACAGGGCTGGTGAGTTATCTGCTGCTGAGATTGATAACCTCATGACAATTGTTGCTAACCCACGTCAGTTCAAGATACCAGACTGGTTTCTCAACAGGCAGAAGGATTACAAAGACGGCAAGTATTCCCAAGTCGTCTCCAATGCATTGGACATGAAGCTGAGGGATGATCTTGAACGTCTCAAGAAGATCAGGTAATTAGAAAACCAAGAGATTATTCTGATCATTGTTCAATTTGCTTAAACATGGTGCTAATGATTCTTCCATGTTTGAGAAATTGACAGAAACCACCGTGGTCTGAGGCATTACTGGGGTCTCCGTGTCAGAGGACAACACACCAAGACTACTGGTCGCAGAGGAAAGACTGTCGGTGTGTCGAAGAAGCGTTAAGCGAGCTAATGTTGCTACTTGCTGCTGTTTGGGATGCTTCATAAGGACCTTTCTATTTCGTATTAGGACCTTTTCTTGTGTGACATTTTTTTGGGCTTTTTGTTATCACATTCCTCTGTTTTTCATTCTTATCCCTCCAATTAGTATTTGTTTAACTTCTAGCTTACTCTGCAAATTGTCTATTTTGAGTCAAAATTTTTGACAGCAGGAGATGACTAAGCCGATTCTTAAGGTCTTAAAATCGGACAAAGCAATTCTATATTACATTGGCATGTACAAATATCAGAACGACATGAAAGAGTATGAAATGCCATTGCATCATTTGGTAACTTGTATGAAAGTTAATATTTGTACCAAGTCAAAAAATGAGAAGCAACAAGATAACAAAAAATTAGCTACGAAAGAATAATTCAAAGTGAGATGTAATAGCTATGAGTGAAACTGATCTCTTACTACTTGCTAAACTTTACCTTGGTGTTCATCATAATCCAAAGCAGCTCCATGTTTCTGTTGTCGGGTCGTCGGAAGAGAATAGTTCTTCTTCTCCTTGCCGCCTGGCTTGGACGAGGCATTACCGTACCAGATCATCCCAAGTACTGCAATAATCATGCCAAGAACGACATGCAGGTTTAGACCATCTCTGTCAAAGAAGAAGAAGCCCATTACCAGCACCAAGATCGTCTTCATATGGCCCAGGACTTGGAACGACACCGCTGTAAATCTCCCAATGCAGATGAACTGGCTTAGGTTTGTCCCAATCGCTATTGTGCACGAGAGGGTTATAAACATCTGCAGAATCATGACCATGTTGTTATGTGCAAAAGAACAATTCATAAGATAAATAAAAAACGATCAACTGAAATAATATCACAAAAGCAAATTTAGACTCATTTGATAAAGTATTATAACTGAAATAAGGCTATAGTCACCATACCAGGCTCATTATGACTTCAAGTATTGGAGATAATTGGTAATTTTTCTAAAGAGGACTAAAGAGATAACGTTTTAGTATGATCTGAGTGTTTTGAGCACTTACCACAGATACAAAGTTGTAATCGTACATGTCTACTCGTTTTTCTGTCAACCAATAATCAAGAAATGGACCGACTATCAACAGTGTTGCAGCTTGGGCTGGAGCAGTATGACCTATTAGGTTGAAGGAGCTAAGCTTGTACTTTTGCTGTAGATAATGTACATACTGCAATAAACAATCTTAGTCAAAACTTGGAACACGATAACGAAAGTTGTAAGTTATGTTAAGAAACCTCAAAGAGCTTACGTATTGTTGCAAAGCAGTACTCCACACAGCAACAAAAGCAGCAACGAAACCTTTGGTGTTAACACTAACATCAGTAACAGTGCAAACACCAACACCAACAAGAACAAGTCCTATGCTAAGTTTAGTGTCTCTTGAGTAACGAATCTTATCTAACACTACTTCCAACAAGCATGATACAGGAATCATACTAAGCTTTGCAATCTGACAACGAACCAAAGGAGAAGTGATAAGATAAGATAACACCATTCAAAAATCAACAACAAGTATAGGTTTTGCAAACGCATTTACCTGATAAAACCCAACAGAGTTCCACATAAGACTAACATTCATTCCAACAATCGAAAAGTTCGCAAACACAATAAACTTAAGAAGCTCTTTAAATGGAAGATGAGAAGGCTGAACATATCCTAAACATCTTAAAACAAGTGTCATCAACGTCGTTGTAGCGAAATGTAAACCAGTTAAGGTCGTTGCTGCAGAACACAATCAAAATTGTAACACACATGATTATAAAAGAGACCAAGCTTGGATGAAGCAGATCATCAAAAGGGTTTTGTAGAAATTACCAAAGCTAAAGCCATAAGTAGCCATTAAAGCTTTATTAACAATGATGATACCAACAGAAGTAACAACATTGAACATCCAAGCAGCAGCATCTAGTGTTGCTTTCTTATCAGCTTTTTTAGCTGGAGCCATTGTGTTTAAACTTCGTCTTCTTCTTCGATCGTTTCTTCAATCCCACATTTCTATACACATAAACCAAAATCGAAGCTAAATCTCTTAAAATCCCAATTCGGAAAACTTTGCTGTTTCGATCGATCTCGTAATCATGAAAGACTAATCGAAAGAGAGATTGATTTGTTCTGCTCAAATCGGATCCAGATAAAATAAGATTGTGTGATCGTCGGAATTAGAGGATAGATCGGAGAAGATAAACCTCGGTGATGTGAATGAAGAGAATACTGATTGATTTTTATTGAATTTGGCGAAATAAATATATTCCGGCGAGGAAGTACCTGGGGGAGGAAGAAGACACGGCGGTGAAGAGACTCTGTTGCCGGCGAAACAGCACGGAGGTGAAAGTTTTTTTTTGTTTTTTTTTAAAAGTATTTTATATAAATCCGAATGCGTTAGCATGAAACAATTTTGTTTTTGTTTAAGAATTGATAATTGATCAATAATAATATATTGTTATTGCAATTTATTTTTGTAACATATTTTAACTGTATTGTAACACTCATGCAATATCTTAAATAAATTACACATGGAGATTATGAATAAAAAAACAACCACACATTTTAATAATAACTAAGCGACATTCTCCACCTAATGGATCTTGTAATTCTTCTTTACAATGTTTATTGCAGTCCGGAAACATCGAACATGGACCTATTATACCCAACCTTCTTGGAGCAAATTTAACCTTTTACCAAAAAAAAAAAAAACCTTCTTGGAGCATCGTTAACTTTGAGCATAGACTTTGCGCAAACTTCACCTATTTCGTTTTTCAATTTCCGAAACATAGAAAGTTATTGGACATATAACCAAAAAAAAAAAAAAAAGAAGAGTCACCAGATACAAATTAGTGTAATATCACAATGTATTGTCACAGTGAAAAAATGTGTGCAATACAGTAAAACTTCTATAAATTAATAATGTTGGTACTACAACATTTTATTAATTTATAGTGATATTAATTTATCTATAAATTAATAATTATTAATTTATCGAACTTATAGGAATACTTTAGAAAATTGAATGATATAATTGATAATAAATAAATTTACTTAAGTGATGTACATAAATTAAATTTATGATTAATGGCATCAATTGTTGTATTTAAATCGTCTATATGACTATCGAAATGAAAATGATGTATATTAAGAATTTGAAAATTTACAAAATAATTTGTTTGTTTTTATGGAATATTTAAGACCATTATAAAAGAAAAAGAGTTTTAAAACACAATATAACATTTTTTATATTAAAAAGTTAGTGATGAGTTAATTTTAAGAAAAAAATCACTTAAAAACACTTAACCATATATTGATATATTATTTTTATGTATATATTATGTAAATTTACATGATTATTAATTTATGATATTATTGGGACCATATTTTTATATAGGAGTTTCAATTTTATTATCTTATCAAATTTTGCCAATTTTTACAGTGGTTCGACTCGAAACCGACAATATATATTAATTTATAGTAATTATTAATTTATAAAGTATTAATTTATGGAGGTTTTACTGGAGAATCGGAGATACGATACATGAATCTTGCTCTTTTGGTACTTCATATATAAATTTAACAAGAAAACATAAAATGCTTTGTTGGCGTACTTTGGGTGAGAAGAACTGCCAGACATAAGAACACAAGGAAGACACATTTGCTTGATGAAGCCATTTTTGGTTTTTTATTGTATTTCCTGATGATATTGAAAAGTACTTAATATTATTTTTATGTATATATATATATGTATATTTATGCTATATTTTTTTTAATGAAATTGGATTCTCTTTTAAATTTAGGATATGTTACTACATTGGGTAATGTCTTTTTTATGTTTATAATAATTGCTGATTAAATTGATATATAAAAATTATATATAATGTATTATTTATAGAGAAATATAATGTGTTATATTTGTTTTGTAAATGAAATTGGATTCTCTTTTACATATACTCTCTATAATTTAGGATATGTTAATAACTACATTGGGTTATGACTTTATTATACATATATATAAGTAAATTTAGTTATGATATGTGATAGGTTTATTTTTTTTTTTTTTTTTGGTCATCAGGTTTAATTTAATTAGGGGGGAATTTCAAAAATACCCCTTTTCCAATACGACTTTTAAAAAATACCGCTCTTTCTAATTTTATCAAAAAGTCACTATAAATTTTGAAATTTATCAAAACATATGTGTAAACTTATATTTATAGACACAAATTATCTTTATATGTGTGTAAATTTATATATATATATATTTCATAAATACTGTATATATACCTTTTAAAAACCTTTTAAAAATCATTTAAAAACCTTATAAAAACTGTTTAAGCCTTTTAAAAACCTTATAAATGCCGTTTAGTTACTTTTAAAATCTTATAAATATTTAGATTTTGTCCTCCAGTAGTAATGATGATCTTGATATACCTTATCAACCATATAAAAATTTATAATATTTCATATTTGAAAAGGGGTATTTTTGAAAATGAATAGAAAAGAAGGGTATTTTAAAAAAAGGGTACACCAAAAAGGGCATTTCTCAAAAGTTCTCTTTAATTAGTGCTGATTATAGGACTAAGATCAAATATTTTGCTATTAATTTAGTATTTTGTATGAATTACAAATAGTCATCTCTAAATAATTTGACTCATAATTATTATATATTTTTATCACCCAAAATAAAAACGAAAAAAATACTAAAACAAAGATAGGCTTGACGAATTATACAAACTTAATCATAACATTCGGTTAGCAATTTCACAAGAACAACTTAACCGTTTCCTTCGATTGTCTTGATTTTAATTGTTTATGGACTATTCAAGACAATGCTTAGCTGCTTAAAAAATTATAACTCACCGTATATGTTTTAGATTGATCTATATACGAGATTCACTATGATTCAATTCATTGTTGGATTCTCGAGAGATCATTTAATGTTTTATTAGAGGAAAATCCGGGCTACGCCTGGTAAATTTTTGGTTTTAATTTTTTTTTATAATTTCTTTAGTATACATGCGAAAAATTTATGTTCATTGTTTAACTTTATTTTGAATTAGTGTTAATGTTACATATTAACTTGTCTATGTGTAAATAACTAAAATATGGGAGCCTATAACATAGAAAAGGAGCATTGATATCAAAATTAACATATCCTTGCGATAAGAAAACTTTTGTTATTATTAACATTGTATCCCACAACAAAGATTGGTTCTAATGTCAAATAGGAAACAAAAACTTTGGCATAAATTCAGTACTCTGACTCTCTTATTTATAATATCTCTCACCATATTGCTTTGCTAGTTTTCCATGTTCTATTTTTATTGCAAACCAAACATGAGTCACTTAATTGTCTATTTTACTCTCTCATTCCATGTTCTATTTCATTGTATATTTCTTATCTTTCTCGATTCACTAATTGTAAGACTATGGCTCCGAATGGTAACTGCGTTTTTCACTGCGGGAGAAGTGCGGTGCGGTCCAAATAGTAACGAAAATATATATATATATATATGTATATGCAGATATTTTGATACTGTTACAGCACTGTTGCGGTGCGGTTTTGTAGTGCGGTATGGTTACCATTCGGAGTCTATGAGTGTAATTTAGCGTTTTTAAAAACTTGATAGTCACAATTTACGTCATCCTCACCACCGACATTGTTTTTTATTGTTTTTTTGCACCTCATCCTCTGCTTCTTAGTGTATTAATTCTCACCATTCTCTGAAACTGATTTGCATATATCAATATTGCACTGTCTTTGACTATATGATTTGATTTTAGTTAGCGGTGAAAGAGAGAGAGGGAGGTACGTCATTACCTACACTGAACCCATACGTTAGATTTAGCTTCCAAATTTATGAAAAATATGAAGGTGTTATCAGAATACATAAACTACAGACTACAAATGAGAGTTAAAAGTAGAATCACATGTTAGATATCGAGAATCCCAAACGAAGTGAACCATTGTTATATTCTCATCGAATCATATCGTCAATTAAACATTCTTAATACATTAAATAACACTATAATCCATAATTTAATAGAATTCTAAAGCTAATAAACTGAATAACAATAGATATTGAAAGAATCTCACCAAAAAAAAAAAAAAAAATAGATATTGAAAGAATCTGGATTCTTTAAATTTTTAAATTAGATTGCAGTAGAATTCTAATTTTTTTCAAAGTTAATTAAAATTCTAATTTGTTAAAGGTTATACAAATAAATGGATAAATAACCGAATTTATATAATAGAACCAAACCAAACCAAAATTTTTGGATGTTCAATTTTGTTTCGTTTATAGGTCTTGAAACCGATCGAAAAGATTTTAAATTTTCGCTTAATCAAGAATTTTGGTTTGGTTTGGTTCTCGGTCAATCGAAATAGTTTTATACAAATCAGGGATAAATAACCAAGTTAAAAAAAACTTAACTGAACCACACCGAACTGAGATTTTGGATGTTTGATTTTGTTTGGACTATAGGTCATGAACAGATCGGAAAGATCTTAATTTTGGTTAATTGAGAATTTTGGTTCGGTTTAGTTCTCAGTTAAGCAAAATAGTTTACATAAATCATGGATAATAACCAAACCGAATCAAAGATTTTGGCTGTTCGATTATAGGCCATGAACCGATCGTCTATTGCCTAGTAGATTTTATCTCGATTAATCGGGTTTTTCGGTTCGGTTTGGCTCTTAAATAACCAAAATATTTGCTTTTAGAGGGAAGCAAGCAACAATTGAATTATAAAATAGATGCCACCGGGAAAATTAGAGGTATACTAAAGCTGTGTATATGAAGTTCGATAGAGTGAAGAGTGGTTCTCATGTTTGCTTTTGTGGAAGCACCACACGGTCCACACCCCGGACATTGCTATTCAACAAGGTGGGTTTAGTTGAATCAGTGGCCAAAACATAAAAAAAAAAAAAAAAAATTATAGACAAAAGCTTTTGTAGAATAAGGATATGAGATGATCAAGTTACTTCCACTAGCTCGTGAGTGAATTTTGCAGATGCTAAACGCAAGTCCAACCAAAACAAGCCTAATAATGTGTTATTGTAAGCCCATATGTGTCTTACGGTTTATTAGCAAGACAAGATAGGATTCATGGGTGTCTATGAGTTTAAGAACAATCATTTTTGGGAGTTGCCTCTTATGGTAAGTCTCTTTTTTATCTTTGTATGAGATTGTTCTTAATCTCAAAGAACTATTTTAATATTGGTGACAAATCTAAATATATTCCTCTAATGAGCTATATATCATTTTCTTTTTAGACTTATATGTTAATAAGCTCATTTGAGCATAAATTTATCTTGTTGCTAAATTCCTTCATCCCGAACCGCATTGTTGACTGAATCATTGGTTTATCGGTCGAACCAACCGGTTTGGTCCGGCTCTTAAAATAATATCGAGCAAAACACTTCAAATTTATTTCAGAAAAAAAAAAAAAAAAAAAAACAAATTTTACACCATATTGCATTATTAGTGATCTATTATTCTTCTTCAATTATGTACATTCTACTTTTCAAATAGTTCACTCTCATCATCATAAGTCATAAGCCAAGGTCCTGCAAAAAACTCATGTAGAGTTGTAAATATTTGTATTCCAACAAAAATAATTCTTACAAAAACACTTTCGGCTAAATGTCATTTTCAAAGAAAACAAAGAACTCAGATTTGTTATAATTGGTATGCATGATTCGTCACTTGAAGTATAGAAACAACTTGGGTTTTAGGTAAACATTTGTAACCAATCTTTCGTTTCTATACTAAAGCAAATTTTATCATTTTTTTTTCTTGCTAAGTTAAATCATCATTTTCAGTAAGAAATAAGCTAATTAAACAACACACGTTTTAAAAACAAACAAAACAAAGATGCTAGAAGCAATAAGATCTCATCACTGTGTACGTGGCCATAAGTCTTGACAAGACGTAGTAACACAGAAGCAAAAGCCAAGAAACATTTATTTCGTCGACCAAAAAAAAACAAGAAACATTCAATGTTGAGTCTTGTCTAAAACATCTATACGACCATACTCAATTTTATCATGTATGTGGTGGTACTTAGATGTGTACGTAACAGTATCTATCTATATTTATCTTATCTATATCTTATAAATACGATTATATAAGACAATGTTTATTTGGAAACTATATAGAGTGGCTATATACTTGGCTAGCAAATTAACATCAGATTAAATTAATTTAATACAAACTCCTTTAATTACACCAAACCATTTTTCTCGATGATTCTTTACTTACCGGTCAGGTCATACAATTCTACCATTCCTTTATCTTTTTGATAATTTCTCTTTTCAGTAATACAAATGAATGTTCCTCCAATAATTCTAAATTTTTTTATTAATTTTGATGTAATTTGTTTATATATATATATATATATATATAAATAAGTGAAAAAAACACAATAATTTATTTGCTTCATGCAGCAGTAAACACAAGTCAAAGCAACGTCTGTTTTCACTTGTTTGTCAGTTAGCTAATTTTATCTACTACTAATATGTTATGCTTTATGCACAAAAAACATTATATATATATAACATTATTGCATTTTGATTTGTCCAATTAGTGGATGACACGTCTACAATATACATATATCATTTTCATTTGTAATACTACTACTTTTCCTCATCCAACGTCTGGTGAACCAACCAGTCAGAAAACTCAAAGTCAACTTTTTTTTATACATCTTAATCAAAGTTTTGGTCATGCATTCATATATTATTACATGGAACTATATGGAAGTAAAATTACATTACTCTACTTATGTCAAAATGTTCCAAAAACATTAAGATCGTATGTATTTTTGCAAAATCCGTGGTCCCATATATACCATTTTGAATCATCATACAAAACAATAGTTTAGTCTCTTTTATTTTAACAACCCTTCAAAGTTGTTATAAATTCTATTTCATTAAAGAAAGAGAGGTCTAAGTCTAACACAAGCTTTCATCTCCGGGAAAGATATGGATGGATCATCAAGTATTATTCCGGTAGAGAAAGTGGCCGGAGATGAGAAAAGAGAGCTTCAAGGGCTTCTTAAGGCGGCGGTTCAATCTGTGGAGTGGACTTATAGTGTCTTCTGGCAATACTGTCCTCAACAACGGTTCGGTTCTTATATATCTACTTAGTCTATCTCTTACAACCATAAAGTCTTCATATGCTTTGGTCTTTTCTAGGGTATTGGTGTGGGGAAATGGATACTACAACGGTGCAATAAAGACGAGGAAGACAACTCAACCAGCCGAGGTAACAGCAGAAGAAGCTGCACTAGAGAGGAGCCAACAGCTAAGGGAGCTTTACGAGACGCTTTTAGCCGGAGAATCAACGTCGGAAGCAAGAGCATGCACCGCGTTATCGCCGGAGGATTTGACCGAGACAGAATGGTTTTATCTTATGTGTGTCTCTTTCTCTTTCCCTCCTCCTTCAGGGTACACAACTCTCTCTTTACTCAAGTTTCCTAATATAGTAACTTTTTTTTTTCTTCTTCTCTAAGTGGTGGGAAAGACAAAAATAGTATTGTGTGTTAAATGCAAATATCACAAATATTGTGTTGACATTAAAGAGAAACTGAGGAGGTTGAGTTACTTGAATAAGAAAAAGGAATGTGGAGAGTTAAATGAAACGTACACACACACATTGGTACCGTTGAGATTCTCATTGTTTGGTGGTGTGAGTGATTGATTAATTATCTAAAGTAGAAGCATGGATATATATATTTACATAAATGAATAACAAAATGGGTTTGTTAAATTATGTGTATATTACTTAATGCTTTGCTCTATGTGGTAAAAGTATAAATTTTGGAAGTAGTATTTTGTTTTTTTGTAGGATGCCAGGAAAAGCGTATGGAAGGAGGAAGCACGTATGGCTAAGTAGTGCAAATGAAGTTGACAGTAAAACTTTTTCTAGGGCTATTCTTGCTAAGGTAAATAAAATTGTTGTTTATTTTTTACCAACTATACTATACTATGAATCTATTTTTACCTATTTATGTATATAACTACACTGAGCATAACGCATCTATCTACTTCTATACCTAGTATGAGTATCAACCTCATCATCGTTCAAATTATTAATTTCTTTCTTGTTGTGTTTTGGGATTGTCTTATACGTCGGTTCCTCAATACTTAAGAGTGCCAAAATTCAGGTAAAATTTGACTTTTTATTAGTTAGTTCTCTTTAAGTAAGACATGTTTGATAGATTCGATAGAAAAATAAAAATTGCAGACTCTGGTTTGCATTCCTATGCTTGATGGTGTTGTGGAACTTGGTACAACTAAGAAGGTATAGTCAATAGTGTATATCTCTCCTTTTTGTTCCATTGTCAATTATATATTTAAAATTTTTGAAAATAGTCTATATTATAATTAATTACATATGTTGACAAATATTAAATTTAAAATATGCAATAATTTTTTTAAATATCTAGCTATAATAATGTTAAATATATGGAAGGGATAATGAAGAATGCATGATTTGTTAATATTTTGTGTGTGAAGGTAAAAGAAGATGTAGAGTTTGTTGAGCTTATAAAGAGTTTCTTCATTGGCCACTCTAGTTCAAACCCAAAGCCTGCTCTTTCTGAACACTCCACTTACGAAGTGCATGAAGAAGCCGAAGAAGAAGAACAAGAAGAACAAGAAGAAGAAGTTGAAGAAGAGATGACAATGTCAGAGGAGATGATGATTGGCTCTCCTGATGATGATGATGTCTCCAATCAAAATCTACGTTCTGATCTTCAAGTAGAATCAACTCACACGTTAGGTATATTATATATATAACCTAAGATACTTATATCGTGTTTCACATTTCTTTGTTACATCTAACAATCTATCACTTGTATATTGTATAGATACACACATGGACATGATGAACCTAATGGAGGAAGGGAACTATTCTCAGACAGTAACAACACTTCTCATGTCACATCCCAATAGTCTTCTTTCAGATTCAGTTTCCACATCTTCTTACGTCCAATCATCTTTTTCCACGTGGAGGGTTGAGAATGTACTCAAAGACCATCAGCGAGTGGAGTCTCAATGGATGCTCAAACACATGATCTTGAGAGTTCCTTTCCTCCATGACAACAACACTAAAGACAAGAGTCTACCCCGGGAAGAGCTGAACCATGTAGTGGCAGAGCGACGAAGAAGAGAGAAGTTGAATGAGAAGTTCATAACATTGAGATCAATGGTTCCGTTTGTGACCAAGATGGATAAAGTATCAATCCTTGGAGACACCATTGAGTACGTGAATCATCTTCGGAAGAGGGTACATGAGCTTGAGACTACTCATCTTGAACAGCAACAACAAAAGCGGACGCGTACTTGTAAGAGAAAAACATCAGAGGAAGTAGTGGAGGTTTCCATCATAGAGAGTGATGTTTTGTTAGAGATGAGATGTGAGTACCGAGATGGTTTGTTGCTTGACATTCTTCAGGTTCTTCATGACCTTGGTATAGAGACTACCGCGGTTCATACTTCGGTGCACGACCGTGATTTCGAGGCGGAGATTAGGGCTAAACTGAGAGGGAAGAAAGCAAGTATAGCTGAGGTCAAAAGAGCCATCCACCAAGTCATTATACATATTAATACTAATCTATAGATCCTAACTTTATATATTGATGCCAACTCTAGATTATAAAGATAACTAAACGTACCGATAATGCAACATATATAAATGCAAATGGACTAAATCATGTTATATTTGATAATTACCATTTGCAATATGCGTTGCTAATTTATGTTGGACTAATTCGAATGATGAATAAAAACGTAGAATACTTTTTTCTACGTTTTTATGGTTATGGCATCTTGATTACAAAAAATCAGTCAAATTACAAAATCACATAGACACATTAACACGAGTGAGTATTAGTTTACTGTTCCAAAGAAACTGGAACAGTACCAATCTTGTTCCCAACTCTATGGACACAATTGTTCCATGTTTGTTTACTTCTTGGAATAGCCTTAGATCCCATTTCTTTATTCTCTTTTATGGAGAATATAATCTTAGCAACTCCAAGATAACAATCTTTTCCAGTCTTCAATATATCAAGACAACATCTATCCGTAATTCGGGTTGCCGTCTCATCCACCAAGTTGTTGAAAATCTCATCTCCGCATTTCGAGCTCGATTTTTCCGCGCAAGCCCGAAGAAAATCGAGTTGTTTTTGTGAGTAATCGTTAATAGGCTCCGGGTCACATTTCTCTGCAGGGGATTCAGCTAATTCGGATGGAGCTTCATCGGGAGTTTCGATATAAATTTCGAAACCTGAAGTTGGAGATATAGCCACATTGTCTAGTACCTCTTGGGAAAAAATTGGACTAGTCATGTAAAACATTACTATATATACGAGCATTACCATGGTATGAGAGTTTGCCATATTTTGCTTATAGTTTTGGATGATGTGAGATTATTGGTGACAAGAAACAAGAAATGCTTTATAGGGAAATTGATAAGAGTATTTAGTTGATAAAACGTTTGTTCATTAATAGTTTTATGTTAGACTTTATAAACCTCAACGTTTAATATATAGTTTTGTGTAAAGAACGTTTACATTAAAGACTTATAGGGTTTTTTCATGTCGTAACTTTTAACTTGTCTTGGATCGAACATGCATAGATTTTGGGCAAACTTGTTGAGAACTACTGTATATACCTCTTTATGTACAAATTATTATAATGAATTGGTTTAGCTCTCGTTGGAGCTCCGGTCGATGTCGGGTCGAATTGAACAGAGTTGAAACTCGGTCTTGTGTTGGTTTCGTGATCAAGTGAAGACTTGGTTTGTTTGAGAGATCGTCGCTTCTTCACGTTGCCCGTATTAATGCATTGACGATTTTTATATATTACTTTATATAAAAGCATAGCTGATATAGGATCGAGAATCACTCCACAATCTTATAAACAAACACTGATTAAGAACTGATCAATGTGTTTCAAAAAAAAAAAAAGAACTGATCAACAAGTTTTAGGGGAAGAAGGAAAGAAATGTAGAGGTGGTGGTGAAACTTGTGATTGACTCTCTCAATCCATGGAGAACTAGACTTAAATGAAAAAAAAAAAATCTTAATCCTATAAATCTCAAGAATCGAATGATTCGCTAAATTGAAACTTAAAAGACAAACTGTGTCACCTCGGTTTCATAAAATGCGGAGAAGTTTAAAAGAATAGATTTGACCATCTTGTCATTAAAGTATATTTATCGTTTTGATTAAAGATCCAAAAAAACTCCAGAGTTAAATGTGTTTATGCATGAGTAATTTCAAGATAGATGACCTTCCGAGATGTGATTGTTGGAACCGTTCGAGTGAAGACATAACACAAGAAATAACATGTATTGCTAGAACCTATGAGTGAACCCAAGTATTTTTTATTTTTTTATATCGATCCAAATTTTATAAAGATTAAAACAAAATTATGGATTACAACTTTTTATTTTCTCTCTTCCTCTAATTTATACTTTAAGAGAAAATTATTTTAAAATAAAAAATAATCCTTATGCAACAAAGAAAAATATATGAAAACAATCTTAAACCTTAAATAAAACCCTTATCAATATTTTCTGCTTAAATTTATAAAGAAAAAAACATTTATGAATATATGCTGCATTAAGATTATACCATAACTCTATAGTCATTATATATATTCTCTAAATCTTTTCTTTGTGTCCAAATTAGTAAAATATTTGCTATAAACTCTAATCAAAGATATTCAAGAAAAAAGAATAAAAAATTAAAAAAATCCAAAAAAAAAACAAAACCTTGTTGTTTGGGTCTCTCGCCGTTTCGTATAAAGTGAGAAAGTACCTTCTCTCTTTTACCCAATTCCTCTCTCTCTCAATCTCTTTTTCATAATCAATCAATCTCCGATCGTCTTTTGATCGACGAATCCGTCATCGGCGACGGAGTCGTGGCCGCTTTGTAATTTTATACATACAGAGGCGACGGAATCGATTTGAATTGAAATTAAGAAGCGATGGGGAAGAAGAGAAAATCTACAGCGACGAGTCTTGATGAGGTAGATCGGACTGTGTACGCTTCGTTTCGCACCGCTGCGAACTCTTTATCTCAGCTTTATACTCAGTCTATGAATCATCAGAAACTGTCTTTTCAAGCCGGTGAACGCCATGGTTTGGTATGTTTTCTGATAACCCCTTTTGGTTCCCTTTACTCTCTGTGACTGTAGCAAAGTTTTGATTTTTATCTATTTGGGTTCAATTCAATTTGGTTTCAGACTCTCTATCTGGCTCTGTGACTGTTCTTTGTAGCAAAGTTTTGATTTTTATCGATTTGGGTACTCTTGGCATCGTTTATATTGGTTCAAGTTTTGATTTTTATCTATTTGGGCACAATTCAATTTGGTTTGAGACTCTCTATCTGGCTCTCTGACTGTTGTTCTGTAGCAAAGTTTTGATTTTTATCTATTTGGGTACAATTCAATTTGGTTTGTGAGTCTTCAAGTTTTGATTTTTATTGGTTTAGGTTTGTTAATTTCATCATTTCATTGAAAGTTTGAATTGTATGTGTTGTGCTTTTGGTGGTTTGTTGTATAGTATATGAAATCTTGGTTTCAATTGTAATACTTTGGAAAAAGAGACTTGATTTTGTTAGTTTTTTGCAGTTGTGTTTCGTTTGACCTGAGGCAGAGATTTCTTCTTCTGTGGACTTGAGGTTTCGTACATAAAGATTTGTCTTTTTTTCTCTGTTTTGTTGAAGTGTCTCTGTGACATTGGCAATGAAGTCAATGCGTCTTTCTTTCTAGGTTTCATGTTTTTTCTTATTGATAGTAAATACTGATTGTTATGTTTTAGGTAGCTTGATTCAAATTGTGGTTGGTCTTTGGCTATATCTTTAAAGCATTCTTCCTCCTCACATTCATTTCCAATCACCAAGATTTGTTCATGTTCTGTAAACCAGTGTTTTTGATTGCTTCTTTGTGTAATTCTTGTTGTGCTATTGGATTCTTTAAGTCTCTTTAGCTCCCCTTCAGCCTTAACATAGTAGTAGTTCTTTTATTTGTTATCCACTTTTACTATTACGCTGTGTCTTCTTCCTATCTATCATTCCTTTGTGTGATGTGTTCTGTATAAACAGTTATTTAGAATATGAAAACTAGTTGATGGCAAAGGGAATAAGGGTATGAAGCTTGCAGATGGAAATGAAACTAGAAAAAGTTTCTATAGAAGCCTTGTTTCCAACCTCCATTGACGGGTTTCCATCTTCCACCTTGCATCAGAACATCCCATCCTTGTCTAGCTCTCCCATTTATTTCAACTCCTTCTTAGTTACTTGAATTTGTAGTCTTAAATCTTAATATGATAGGGTTAGCATTTGCTAGTCTATGGTCTCTTTCACTATATTTACTATTGAGTGTGATGATATGCGTCTGCTCTTAAGATGTTGACGACTAAAGTAATATTGTGTTGTCTGCTTTTGTCTTTCTTTGGTGTACTGAAATTCTACTTTATATGGGGATAATTGAGTAGTGATGTGAAACCTGTAGTTGAAAGATGACATACTGCATGAGATATTTATGTGAACTAGGTTATGGCCAAAGAGAATCATATGAGTCATACGTAACCTTAACCCAAGCTAAAGGAGCTCTGTGGCAGCTTCAAATTGGGAACAATAGACGCTAACGTGACTGTCCTGCTTTATCTTCCCTATTTCAGGAAAAGCTGTACCAATGGATATGGAGACAACAAGAAGGAGGGTCAAGAGTGACACCTATGGATATAGTTAATTACATTCAGGTTCATTTGACTTCTATCTATATATTTAACGTAACATGAAATTCTGGTTTTTGAAGTGTTTCTCGTTCTTGATTGAGCTTCTGGTTTCCCCAATGTAGAACGAGCTCGAATGCTGCACTGACGAGCCCCCAATGTCCCCAAGAGCCCCACCACCGCAGCCAACAATGCATATCACGCATTCTGGGCTCATGGCCTCTTCAGGAACCTCTTGCCCAATATCCGTTCCAGTGGCTCGGTCTGAGCACTGTGAGAACCAAGCCAAGAACTCGGTTTTCTCAAACGCTCTTTCAAGCCCAATACGCCGTAGTCTTCAGAGCTACCAAATTCCTCATGGTGGCTACACATCTGGCGGAACCAGAAGCAGTGAAGTGAACAGAGGGTCTAACTCTCCAGGTTCTATTGATTCTTCAATGGACATGCATGCAGAATAAGAACTGTGATCATAATACAACTCTTGTTTAATGATGTTTGATCTATATACAAAAAAAAAAAAACTGGTTTGATACTTCATAATGTATCAATTTGATTCTTATCTTGGAGGTGTTTTTGTTGGTAATTTTTGTTTAGAGTTTCTAAAAGGTCATCACATGTAAATCATTGTGTCCTGATTCTTATCACTTGTTTAACTCTGTAACTTTACATGTTTTAACTTTGACCTATGCGTGAAGGATTGATAAATCCATGGCTTGTATTGTATACAACAAGCATAAAGCAATGCAGTTTTGTTGAGCTTGAAGCTTAAATACCGATTTAGAGGATTCTAATTTCTAATGTTAACTAGAAGACCTAGATGGCTAGATGCCATTATCATTGAAATGTGAAATGTACAGACGTAGATGGTTAGATTCTGTCTATACTCGATACTAAAATACTACTTCTGATCATGTACTGACATGTTATTGCCTATTGGGACAAAAATGAGAGATCAGAGTTCCTGAATCTTCTGCTTCTTCTTCTCCTGATGTTCCGTCTTTCGCTTTCTCTTGCTCTGATGGTCATTTCCAGCTTCATGATCTTCATCTACAGCATTTTCACCTTTTTTACTACCTGAAGCTTCACCAACTTCACCTACTTTACTACCCGAAGCTTCACCAACTTCACCTTGGACAGCTGGCTGATCATTCCCACCAAGGCCTTGTTGATTATTTCCGTCAAAGCCACCGTCACCACCCCCACCATCCATTTCAACTCCGACAGAACCCGGAACCCAGCGATATACACGCTCCACAATCTCTCCATCATCGTATTCAAGACATACCCTTGACCATGCATTCATGAGATTGATCAGATGGTTCATTCGGTGAGCAGATAGCCGACATCTTACCCTCAGAAACTGTTGATTCTCAGCTTCCATTGCTGCTAACTTCAATCCTCAAAAGAAACTATACAAATCAGAGAAGAAAAATAGCTCAGGGCCAAATAAGCTTCATATTCAGTACATAAGATATGACTAAAATGAAGCCATCTAATACTATATGAGTCAAAAGGCTTTCATCTAAAAGAAACCTCAACAAGGAAGCAACATACACTGAATCTTCAAAGTACCTAACCAATTTGCATAAAACCAAAAGCCTCATGACTCACAAAGTAAACATCAGTTTCATAACCTGGCTATGTTACTGCTACAATGTGTACAATAGATTCCACAGGACGATATGAGAGCCCATAGCTAAGACCAACATTATCGGGCAGCTCTTATTAGATCTTAAGGTTTTTCTGTGATTTAATTAAATCATAAATACACAAATATCAGAAGAATCGATCTTATGCAAGATCGTTTTTATGGGGTAAGAAGCGTCCATGTGTCGCGATTTAATTGGGTAAGTCTAATAAACATTTTTTCTCATTTTTTTTTCTTTTTTTGTTTCTCTCTCTTTCTCTTTCGCGAACGAAGAGTCGAAGAGATATCAACTCCGGTTGAATCGATACCTCTGATTCCGGCTGAATCCGCCGGACAAAAACACTGGCTTTCTCTCCTAATCCTCTCTCTCTGAGCGCCCCCGATCCTGCTTTCGAGTCTTGGCTTCGAGACTCTGGCTACCTCGAGCTCCTCGATCACCGCACATCCGCCGTCGCTTCCTCCTCAAACGATTCGCGAGGAACTACGCTACGCTCTTCATCGTCTTCTTCGCTTTTGCACTGTATGGATTCATATACTCTTGATTTTAGCTCTCTAATTGGATAAAGGCTAAACCTTTAGAGTTTAGACATTGTTGGATTATGTTAAAGTATGAATCTTGAAATTGGTTTGGAATTTAAAGTGATGATTTTTGGTGGGGTTGTTAGCAAGTTTAGCACTTTGGGAGCTGTTCAAATTCTGCAGTGATAGATGGAAATTTGATCATCACCCATGCGGAAATTGTCAATCGGTATTGGACAATGTGGTGAGTTTTTTCCGATTCAATTTTTTCCTGATTTTAATTGCAGTTTTATATATTGGACTACTTTGTTCATGAAGTATACATGACCACTACGTAATTTCATGGATGTTGAGGAAACACATTTGCCTTACCAATTATGATCATTTCCATTATTACAATTGCTTTGAATGTACTCTTTTCAGATGGGAAATAATTGCAGAGAGACTGGGCTTGATGTTAGTCTTTGGACTTGATGCTCGCTCTCTCCTTCAGTTTGCCATGTGGAATAAGGTAATTTCTTCTGCTTGAGCTCATCTTACAATTTTTTGGGTTTGATGCTCGAGAAGAAAAAGTCACATTCAAACATGGACTAGACAACAGATGCACAAATATACTGCCAAACTCGAGAGATGTTAAACTTGTCATGGTTCACACAAGGTAAAACAAACTCTTGATATATATACCCCAAGAAAGCAATTGCCTCAAAATTCTTCTTTCCTTTGCTTGTGTTATGTTTGCAGGGAGCTAGACCGAAAACTGCGGTTATATGATGTAAGATTGCCTCAGACAGAACTATTTTCTTTTTGGTGGAAGCAATAAAGCAGTGAGTCGCAGTCGGCCCTAATTAACTAGTCTTGGTCTCCTGATGGTTTACACATTTCATCTGGTTCTGCAGACCCTGTACCCTGTGATCCACATCTTTGATATCCGCTACAATGCACCAAGCCTGTCTCTCTCGATGAAAGCTTATAAGAAAAGAGTGTTCAAAGACGAGTGGCATTCTTCTCATCCTTTGCTCGTCTCCATCTCATCAGATTTATCAATTGGGATTCACAAGCTATGGTGAAACATGTTAAAGTCATCACCTAAATATTTGAAGGCCAGTAACTTATGAATGACGGATTTTGTCTTGCAAGTAGTTGATTGGCAAGTAAGACATCATCTTGAAACAAAAAAAAAAACAAAAAATCACACATTGTAGTATATAAAGGGAAAATTTATGAATTACACATTGTAGTATAGAAATCCATTGTTTTAAATTTTCTCCCAATCAAGTTTAAAATTATTGTACTTTATGTTATAATTTTATCTTATGTATGTTTTCAAATTCTAAATTTACAATAATTATAATATTTTCTAAAATTACAAATTTTAAATTTTTTAAATTTTTTTAATTTTTTTTTTTCTAGGATACTCATCTTAAGATCTTACCAATAAACACATCTCAAAACCAAAAACAAAATTATAACATCTTAAGCTTTACTTTTTAAAGATTAACTAGTGATGGACCCGCACGTACGTGCGGGGTTATTTTTGCAAAACTACGATTTTTTTTATGTAGATACGATTTTGGTAAAAGTTTGTTATATAAGTTTATTTGAAAAATTATACATAGGCATACAATTGTAAAATATAGATATTGTTTACTTAATATAGTTTTAAAATAATTTAAATGAAAATGTTAAATGATATTACGTGTTTATTTTTTAAACTAATCAAAACATTTCTAATTGTTTGCTTAGAGATGTTAAATCGGATTTGGATTTGGCTTTAGTTTGAATTATTTTACGTATAGTTAGGAATGAGAAACCTGTCCCGTCCCGACCCGTCACTTCCTGTCTCGTTCCAACCCGTCCCGTCTCGTCCCGTCCTGTCTGTATCGTCCTCTATCCATCATATATTTCTGTCCCACAATCGTTTCCTTTTAAAAACATAATTATTTGCTAATGTTTATTATAAGAAACTTGGCAAGAGATCTAGACGGAATACTCGTATTCCTCGTTTAAATATTTATTTTTTCACATTAATAAAACTCTACTTATAAATCTAAGTCACATGCTCCCACCATTTTCATTCACAAGTCACTGCTTCTAATCCGAGTATACACAATCCTTGTTCAATTTTTAATGTTATTGATCGTTTAATTTCATCTTTATTTCCCATTACTTTCTTCAATTCAAAGAATCAAATTTAGCTTTTTTGTTTCCTACAGATTTAGGTATTTCTATTTTTTTAATTCATAGGTTTTATTGTAATTATGCTGAGTTAGCTCTCAGGGTTTTTTTTTGTTTCACTTGAATTGTATGTGAGTATCTTTATATACGGTATAATATAATAATGAATTACAAAAATAATTGACTTCTTTATTCTTATTATTATATATTTAGTTCATACATATTGTTTATGTTTCTTTGTTTTAAATATTTTAACTATTATCGAACATACTTTAAG